GCTCTGGCAAACGGAAATATTGGGGGTGAAGAAAAACAATCACTATTTTTTCTTTTTTAATCTGGTAAATAAGTAAAAGAGAAAACACCAGGTTTTGTTGTCGTCTATTCTTTAGGTTGTGTCAATTTTTTTTTTCTCTCTTTTAGAGATAGGTCTCATGTAGCTGAGACTGGACTTGAATCTTGATCCTCTGGCTTCCACATCAATGCTGTAGTCACAGCTGTGTAGTACCATACACAACAGGTTATGTCACTGTCAATGTCTTGTGCCTTCCTGCCCCCAGAGCCCCACACATATCCACACTTAGGCTCTTTCCCACCTTGGGAGTTGCTAAATACCAGGGCCAGGGCCACAAGGAGTCCTGTCTGCCTGAGTGAACCCTCCCTAAGCCCTGAGCTGTGCTGCTGGTGGTACTGTCTCCCAGGAACTTAGCGGCCCTGCTCGTGTGACTGTTGCTCCACACTGTGGTTCAGCACCAGTGCTTCTCGGCCTCCTCTGTGCATGCTGTCTGCTGTGCCTGTGGGGGCCGGAGTGCTGCGCCCACTGCGCAGCCTGTGTCCGAGAATGTGCCGAGGGTGTCGGGATTGACGACACAGAGACCCGTCGGTGGCTTCCAGAAGGCTCCTCAAGAAGGCTCTCCTTTATTCCTACCCTGGCTGGTTATATATACCTTGACACCAGAGGCAGCAGTCGGTGGGTCAGGAAGAGGCGGTTAGTCTTTGGAAAAGGTCAAGGTCAGGGCATTTCCATGGGCCAGCACTTATCAGTAACTTATTGCTCCGGGCACGGTATTGTTTTTAGTAAACATTGTCTCACAGCTGCCTGCTCCCAGGCTGATGGAGAAGTGGGCCTCCGGCCAAGGTCTGTTGTTCCCACTTGGAGTTTGAGGCTGGGAGCAGTCAGCAGCAGGCCAGGTCTGCTGCACACAGGGTCTGCAGCTCCAGCTGAGTGGGCAGGTGAGCCAGCCAGGAAGAGGTGTAAGGAGCCTTAGCCCAACAGGACTCAGGACCAGTTATGCACTATTTGCTGTGTGAAGCGGCCTCGGGGGAACTGGGTCTGGATGGTAGGCACCAATTGACGGGTGCAGAGAGCTAGGGTGGGGCTGCTGGGACTACCGGAAGGGCCAGCATTTGATGAGCCCTGTTACCTGGTTTGTGTTGCTCTTTGTCTCTTGCTGTTTGAGCTACTGAGCAATCCTCACTCAGCACGTGCCACGGGAAGGCCAGAGCACTAAGACAGTTCATATCCACTGTTCTCAATGTGCTGCTGGCTCCCTCTTCGTTCTCAGTTTTTTCCACCCTGTTCCTGGGATGGGACACCTACCCACCCTGTGCCAGGGACCTAGTCCCCAGTCTGGTGATCTTCGGCTTATCAAGGTCTGCCAGGCCTTTATCTCCTTCCTGGTCTGTAGTAGAAATAGCCTCAGCCAGTGTCCTACTGCATGGACACATCCTACCTGACGAGGAACCTTGGGCCTCACCTGGCCAGCGTGATGAAACTAGAGCAAGGCAAGTTCCTTGTGGCTGTGAGACATTGGCCAATTAGTCTTCCATGTGCTTTAGCCTCTTTTTTATTTTTTAAACTATGTGTGAATGGGTATGTACCCAAGTGCAGATGCCCATGGGGCCAGAAACATTTGATCCCTCTGAAGTTACAACTAGTTGTGAGCCACCTGTCATGGGTGCTGGGAACTGAACTCGGGTCCTCTGGGAGAGCAGTACATGCTTCTAACTGCTGAGCTATCTTTCAGCTCCTATTTTGGTTTCTACATCCGCAAATTGGATGTCAGAAGTACCACCTGGCATTGTGTCAAGAGTAAATAAACTGAATGAGGAAGGGTACTGGGAAAGAGAATTCAGTATATGAGTTCCTACAGTCCATGGCTGGCCTCAAGTCGGAGATGCCCCTGCCTTGACCTCCTAAGTATTGGGATTACAGGCAAGTACCACCACACACTGTTTGCTCTGGCCCTTTAAAAATGCCTAGAACTCAGACTAGGCTAGGGCAATGGTCTCCTAGAAACAGGGACGACAACAACAACAACAACAACAAACTATCTGAGATTCCGGTGATACCCACAGAAGACAATCAGGTGGAGCAGGGAAGGGTGGATTTACATTGGCTTCCCCCTCTATCCCCTCTGTCCTTCCCAGCCCTTCCTCTCCCGCCTTTTCTCTACAGTCTTCCCTGTCTCTGTTGTTCTGAAAGTCAAGTGCTCACCCCCACTCACCCACCCACAGGTTCCTGTATTTAACACTTGGTGCCCAACTGACAGTGCTGGTTTGACAGACTGTGTAACCTATAGGAGATGGAGTCCTCCTGGAGGAAATGGGTCTTTAGGGGTGGGTCTTGTGGTGTTTTAGTCCAGCCCAACTTCCTGTTTTCTGTCTGCCCTCCAACTGTGACCGTGCTTTCCCTGCCGTGATGAACAAGTCCCTTCTTAAACTATAAGCCCAAACAAACGCTTCCTCCCTAAGCTTCTTGCTAACACAGAGGCACTTGGTCACAGCAAAGGGGACTTAATGAGCAATCTGCCCTGCCACGCCCCCACATCTACCCCAGTTCTGGAGAACACCTCTTGCTTACGTATTCATAACTGACTCTCTTGGATTTGGGGGTTAAAACAGTATTCTACAACCAATGATTGTTGAAGATTGATTTTGTGTGTGTGTGTATATACACGATACAGTCCACAGGTAGAGATCTGAAGACAATTTGGGATAGTCAGTTCTTTCCTGTGGTGTGGGTCGCAGTGATCAAACTCGGGTTGTCAGACTCAGCAGCAACACCTGTACCTACTGAGCATCTCTTGAGTCTTCAGTGACAATTGAGTTTCACTCACTCACACACACACCATACATACATACAAACCACACCACAACCCAACAGGAACCCTTCCACACACATCCCACAAATACATCATACAAACACCACAAAAATCCCTTTCATGAATAGGCACATACACCACACACAATTCTGATCTCATCAAAAATTTCAAGTTTCTTGTTTATATTCAGAGAGAGAGAGAGAGAGAGAGAGAGAGAGAGAGAGAGAGAGGGAGAGAGAGAACCTGTGAAGAACAAAGATGAAACAACTTCCTCAATCTACTTTTTTTCATAGATTTATTCATAGCCAGGTGGTGGGTGGCAATCCCAGGCAGAGGCAGGTGGATCTCAGTGAGTTTGAGGCCAGCCTGATCTACAGAGTGAGTTCCAGGACAGGTAGGGCTACATAGAGAAACTCTGTCTTAAAAAATAAAAAATAAATTCATTTTGTTATATGCCTAAGTGTTTCGCCAGCACAAATACCTGTGCACCACATTGATACCAAATGCCCCAGGAAGTCAAGAGAGGTCACTGAGTCTCCTGGAACTGGAGATATAGACAGTTGTGAGCTGCCATGCTGGTGCTGGGAACAGAACCCAAGACCTCTGGAAGAGCAGCCATGCTCTTAATCGCAGAGCCATCTCTCCAGACCCTCCACATCACTTTTGGAGACAAGGCCTGTCACTGAACTTGCAGCTCTCCGATTCAGGGAACCTGTTCAGTTAGTGAGAGTCAATTAGCATCCTGTCTCCGCCCCCAAACCCCACCCTCCCACTGTTGGGATTACAGACCTGTTTCGATTATTTTGTGGGTTCCAGGGATACAAGCTTAGGTTCTTGTGTTTATCCAGCAAGTACTTTACCAAATGAACTGTCACTCTGTGCCGCCCCCCTTGTTGTCTTTTATGAAGTCTGTGAGATTTAATCATGGGGCCTACACTCTGATGACCAAAGGTCATTTGTATGCCAAAGTCTGACACTAGCATAAAGCTTTAGGGGTTGAACCCCTTCAAGAAGCAAGTGGTGGTGGTGTATGCCTTTATTCCCAGTGCTTGGGAGGCAGAAGTGTGCAGATCTCTGAGTTTGAGGCCAGCCTGATTTACAGAGTGAGTTCCAGGAAAAGCCAGGGTAACACAGAAAAACCCTGTCTCGAAAAAAGCCAACCAACCAACCAACAAGCTCTTGCATGAGGCATGTGTGGTGGTGCATATCTTTAGGAAGCAGTGTCAGGAAGATCTGTTCATGTTTGAGACCAGCCTGGTCTACATAGTACATGCCAGGCCAGTCAGGGCTACACAGCGAGACCCTGTTGCAAACAAAGCCAACGACAACCAGAACTCTTACTGCATGAATTTGAAGGAATAAGAACTTTTTCAAGCTATAGCACTAAGTCACAAGTATACCCACCAAGGAGGCCATCATTAGATTCTTATCGGCAAATTAAAAAATGAGAATGACTAATAATTTATGAATGGAAAAGGAGGAGAGACATAGAGAAGGGCACCAGGAGGAAAGCAGTCTGCTTTCATCGTGGTGACTAATTGTTGACTCTATTCTTGAATAAATTGACTAGACCATTAGAAAAAAATTGCAGTTTTTATGGATTTTACTATAAGGTTTGGGAGATGAGCTGTGCATGGCAGGTGGAGGGTGTCTCCAAGCTACAGCACCCTGTCCCCACCACCTGAACCCAAGCAGGAGCGCTCCATCTGTTCCCATGTGGCTACAGATTTGAGACTGTCTGTAGACACCACAGCTTACAGAATTGTCTGGTGTTAACATTTTTTTCCTTTAAAATCCCATAGATATTATTCCATTTTCTTCTGGCATGTGAATTGCCAGAGAGATATACAAGGCATTCCATTTCCACTCTTTGATTTCTACTAACACATTAGACACTTGTATGTTATATATGATTTTACAATCAGAGGAAACCTTTCAACAATTTTTAACTATGTGTGTATGTATACGTGTGCACATGTGTGGTAAGGTGCCTATGAAGGTCAAAGTAACTCTAGACAAGTTATTTCACCCCTTTGGGTCTCCATTTTCTCAAGAGTATGATCACTTAGTCGCGTCTTTGCGGGAGAAGCCATGTGAGTTTGGGGTTAGCGCTGTACCGGAGGGTCACCTCTAAACAAGGCAAGAACACGCCCCTCTGCGGCATGCAATACCTCCTCCCAGCCGCACGATGGCGCTGAGCCCGCTGGAGAGCAGGGGGGCGGGGATCCTGAGCGCCGCGGCTACTTTCCGGGCTGCCGCGGTGAGTGAGTGCTGCGGTTGTTGGGGGCTTCCCTCCTGGACCCCCTGATAGCGGCCAGGGAGGGCGACTGGGTGTTGCGGGGCAGTTTCGGCGGGCTGCGCTCGAGAACTGGAAAACCCGGGTAGCACTAGACAAGGCGGGCGCTGGCAACGGGGGACCCAGCCTGGCCCTGGACGTGAGCGCCCTCGGCCCCACACTCTCGCGCCTCCCATCAGGCTCTACGGCGGCCAGGGATTCAAAAGTCATCAAAGTCCTTGCCGCACGGACGCTTGGGGCTGTGGGCGGCCTCCGCACCTATATTGTATTCCCGGCCTTGTCCACCGCCCCTACAGGCTCTGCCATCTGTCACCCTGGCCCTTCTCTGCTTGGACGGTGTCTTCCTCTCCTCGGCCGAAAATGACTTTGTCCACCGGGTCCAGGAGGAGCTGGATCGCTTCCTGCTGCAGAAGCAGCTATCCAAGTACGGGGAACTAGGGGGCGGCTTCAATGCTAAGAAGGGTAGGGTTTGCCCCTCCCCCAGGAGCTGTGCCCGGGTAACTGGCTGCTCCACCGGCCAGGCCCTGCCTGACCTGAGCCTTTAGCCTCTGCCGCCTTGTCCAGCCACATCTTTCCTTTGTATCCGAGTGTCATCCCACTTAAGCAGAAGTACCCACCCTCTTCGGAATGATGAGAACTGTAGCTCCCTGTGATCTACTCTGCAGGGACCCGTTTGGGCACACTGAGTTTGGTGTTAAGTTACCATAAACCCGGGAGTGGCCTCCGTGGGAATCAGGTCCAGAAGCTGCACCCGCAACCTCGGTTTAATAACTCCCTCTTGTCCCTTCCCAGGGTCCTTCTTTTCCCCCCTGTCTCCAGCCGCCTACGGTACCTGATTCACAGAACAGCAGAAACTTTTGATCTCTTGAGCAGCTTCTCTGTTGGGGAGGGCTGGAAGAGGAGAACAGTCGTCTGTCACCTGGACATCAGGTTTGTGATCTTACCGCTTTGGAGGCTTCTCAGCAATTCCTTTTTTTTTTTTTTTTTTTTTTTTTTGTGATGGTTGGACTAGCTGGCTAGCTAGGAGGGTAGAACTTGAGGGCCAGGAACCCCCAACTGTGTGAAATCAGGGTTGCTTTTTGCTTCATCAGGGATGCGGCTGACTTGACTGAATCAGCTGTTCATGTTGGGCTAAGGGAAGAGAGCACACAGGAATAGTTAGATTAGTAAGGGTGGGTCTGCCCCCCTCTCTCTGTGAGCGTGTGCTCCAGGGAGACCTTGGTTCAGAGCAAGAACCTGTCAGCCTGTAGTCATTCCTCTTCCTGTGTGCATCTCATAGGATGGACATCTTATCATTGTGACTCTGATCCTGACAACAGCTCTAAAACCAAATATTAGCCTGCTTTCATGTGTCCCCAAAGGCTCAGCACCCACTGATTTGATTGTAGTGTTCATGAGGAAACTCCTGTGGGTGTGTCAGGCATCGGATTTTTGCCTTTGCCATAATGCCTTTGAGAGAGATTCTTTGGAGGGTCATTGTGGTCGTGACCTTTGCTTAATGCTGACTTTCCAGTGTCATGCCTGAATGATAGGTGGCTCCAGTAAGCCATTTTCCTGTGGACCCAGACCTGCTCTGAAGCTTCTGTTTTTACTCCAGGGTACCCAGTTCAGATGGCCCCTCTGGTCCCTGCCGCCCTCCTGCCTCCCATCCCAGCAAGTACCGTGGCCCTCGGTACACCTCACATCAGGGAGCAGCTGCTGGTTCCCGAGGTGCTCCTGCTGGCCGGTGGCATCGCGGGCGGAAGCCAGATCAACCTCTGTATGTGCCCCGGGTGCGAAGAAGGCAAGATGAACCAGTAGCACCCTCCATCCCGGGCCTCAGGGGAGAGGCCCCAGCTGGTGGAGTTTCAGAAGAGCCAAGAGGGGCTGGGGACCCTGAAGCTGATCACGGAGTTCCCATGTTGGTGACTCAGGGAACAGAGCTCCCGAAGAGCCCAGATTCAGGCTGTGCAAATGATTCACAGTTGGAGTTGGGTGACACTGAGCCCTCTGAGAATCCTTCCAAGAAGGAACAAGGGGTGGAGACAGCCGTGCGGCAGGGGTCCAGCCCACAGCTGGCCACGGAGGAGGAAAAGGAGGGGGAAAATAGGAGGCTGGTGCAGAGCCTGGTGGACCAAGAGAAGGAAGAAGAGGAGAAAGAGAAGATGGGTAAGGAAGATGAAGATGTAGGCAAGCAGAAAGGGAAGGAGGATGAGGAAGAAGAGAAGATGGATGAGGAGGAAGAGAAGATGGATGAGGAGGAAGAGAAGATGGATGAGCAGAAAGGGAAGGAGGATGAAGAGGAAGAGAAGATGGATAAGGAGGAAGAGAAGGTGGATGAGCGGAAAGGGAAGGAGAATGAGGAGAAAGAAAAGATGGATGAGGAGGAAGAGAGGATGGATGAGCGGAAAGGGAAGGAGGATGAGGAGGAAGAGAAGATGGATGAGCGGAAAGGGAAGGAGGATGAAGAAGAAAAGGATGGGGAAGAAAATGAAGAGGATGACGCCGACCATGATGATTTCAGTGAGCTGCTACAGGAGGTGATGAGGCTCTTGAGCCCAGAAAAGGGAGGGCGGAGGTGAGGTGGGTGTGGCCTCAGGGGTATGGGAGAAGGGCCTTGGGCTGGAGGTGAAGGGGGTGTGCTAATGGGATGTACATTGGCTCAGACCTGGGTGTTGGGAAATTTTAGGGAACCTGGAGAAGGAACGGCATATTTGGGTCCCAGGATAACCATTTAGGAGATGGCTAGCCCTAGGCAAGTCACTTGTTTTTTAGAGTCGTTTCCTCGAATGAGAAAAAGGTAGTACATACGTCACAAGGAGACCTCACAGGTGCGTTGCTCTCTGTTAAAGAAAGTCACACTCTTGCCTGGAGCTCTGCCTTAGAAATTGTATTCCCCCCCCCCTTTTTTTTTTTAAGACAGGGCTTCTCTGTATTGTTTTGGAGGCTGTCCTGGAACTCTCTCGGTAGACCAGGCTTGGTCTCCAACTCACAGAGATCCACCTGCCTCTGCCTACTGAGTGCTGGCATTAAAGGCGTGTGCCACCACCGCCCGGCTTAGAAATTGTGGGTTGTTTTTTTTTTTTTGATTTTTACGAGACAGGGTTTCTCTGTATTGTTTTGGAGGCTATCGGTCCAGCCCGGCCTCGAACTCACAGAGATCCGCCTGCCTCTGCCTCCCGAGTGCTGGGATTAAAAGGCGTGCGCCACCATCGCCCGGCAGAAATTGTATTTTCTTGAGACCATGTATCTGCCCCTAACGTTGACTCTGGGTCAGTTGGGCGGGTAGGTATCTTTGATTGCTGCCTTATGCACAGTCTTTGAGAAAAGTCACATTTTTAGTAAGGAAAGTAAAGATAGTGGCTTTGTTCAGCTCTTTTTTTTTCCTACAGACTATGCAGTTTTGGGCAAACTACTTAACTCTTTGGCCCTCCGTGTTTCCATCTGTAAGGAGGGTACATAGACTGCATTTCAAGGTTAGGTGAAACACAATGGGCACAGTTGGCAGTCATCTAGCGAGGACTCCATAAAACCAAGCATCCTCCCCTAAAACCTCCACCTGCTGAGAAACCAAGCTGCCATACCCCGATTCCTACCAAGCCGACGTCTCCCTGAGCACTATGAGCTTGGGAAGCGTCAGTGGGGGCCCTGTGCCTTATCTCTCCCTTGCCAAAGGGTCTGTTTGCTCCCAGATCACAGCCAACCTAACTGAAAAGGAGATCGAGGTAGAGAGGATCCACCTGGACACATCCTCCTTTACAGAAGAGCTACCCGGGGAGAGGGACCTGGCCCACGTGGTGGAGATCTATGACTTTAAGCCAACACTCAAGACTGAGGACCTGCTGACCACCTTCTCCGAGTTCCAGTAAGTAGTAATGGTGGGGAGACTGGGCGAAGCTAGGATAGCCCTCCCCTGCTCGGGATGATTGCCTGCCCCAGAAAGGAAGGCTGAGATAGGCGTTGATGTCTGGGCTACTTTCTCTGAGGCAGGTCAGCCTGATGACTCTGACTGAGGGAAGGGAAGGGCTGAGCACTGACATGTTCAAAAGCCTGAGACCCAGGCCAAGTTCTGTCTGTGCATACCCTTGGTGGGACCACAGGCCTTCCATCAGTCTCAGGACACTGTTATCCACATGCCAGTGGGTCATTGGGTCTACAGTGGCCCGAGGGCCATCTTGGTATGAAAGCTGTTTATGGGGCACCTGCTTGAGCAGGCTGGAAGGAGCTTGGAGGGGTATACTTAAGGACAGGACTCCTTGACTTCTCCCCAAGTCCCATGGATGCAACCTTCTGTCATTTCTTTTTTCTTTCTAATTTGCTTGTTTTCCTTTGACTTTGCTTTACCTGTGTGGACTTTTGTTTTGTTTTGTCTTGTTTTTTAGATAGCCCCACTGTGTGAACTGGCCTGGCCTCTCTAACTCAGAGATCTGCCCGCCTCTCAATGCCTCATTTGTATTTTATTTTATTTTTTAAATTTATTTATTATGTACACAGTGCTCTGTTCTGCATGTACAGCTGCAGGCCAGAAGAGGGCACCAGATCTCATTATAGATGGTTGTGAGCCATCATATGGTTGCTGGGAATTGAACTCAGGACCTCTAGAAGAGCAGACAGTACTCTTAACCACTGAGCCATCTCTCCAGCCCCTGTGTGGACTTTTTAAAGCCCCTTTCTGGGGCAGGAGAGATGGCTCAGAGGTTAAGAGCACTTGCTATTCTTGCAGAGGACCTGGGTTTGGGTCCCAGCACCCACATAGTGGCTCAAAATCATTGGTAGTTCCAGTTCCAGGAGATCTGTGGGCACTGCACGCATGTGGTGCACATGTATACATGCACGCTAAACACTCAACATGAAATAAAATTAAAGAAAAGCCCCTTTATTCCTGGCCCTCCTCTCTGACACTGATTCCCATACCACTGTCCCTTGTCCTCTGCCCCTGTCTGTGCTGAAGGGACAGCTGAGGGGGTGGCACCATTTACCTTTTCAGCCACACTGGGCCACCACTGTTTGTTGAGAAAGTATGTCAATAATCCCCTCTAATGGAAGAGATAGCTTTGTCTTAGGGTTTGAGGTGGGATAGACCTAGCCTTCAGGATTCAAGGGGAAAGGGTCTTGCGTACTAGCTTTTGTGAGCTCCTGTGTCCTCTCCCCACACAGAGAGAAGGGGTTCAAGATACAGTGGGTGGATGATACTCACGCCATCGGCATCTTTCCCTGCCAGGCCTCAGGTAAGATGATTTCCTGTTGGGCTCTACTCCTTCTCTGGCCTCCATTGAGAGCAGAGGTGCATGCGTTCCCTGAGTGGAGGCCCATCTATGTCCAGAGATAGACTACCCTCACCTCAGCCCATCGGCTTGGCTCTCAGCAAACCTGAACTACAGTCTGGGAGCTGGGGGGAGTGGCCTGGGAAACTCAGGGAGGCTTTGGCCTCTCCTCTTTCTATTGGCAGTTTCAGTACAGAGTTGTTAGAATCAGTAACATTTCCAGAACAGGTGACATGGGCTAAGCCATAGGTCCTTCCCCGAACTGAATGAAAATATCAAGTGCTGTTGCTCTGGGTCACAGGCGTTTGGCACAGGGAGCAGGCAGGTGCATGGGCATTGAGATTTCACATCAGCCTCAGGTGCAGGGGGCATCACCCGCCCCCCCCAGTGCCAGGGCCTCCTCCCTGTGACCTCAGGACTCCTCTTCCCCTTCAGCCACTGTCCCATGCTGCCCCTGCCATTCCACTGCCAGTTTGAGTGTACTTATAAATAAATAAGAGACTCTCCCATCTGGAACCACGTGTGTACATCAGAGCCTCTGCACATCAGAGCTGGGAGCACCCTACTTGGGTTTGACCTGGTCTTTGTGAAGTCTAAAATTGAGGGTGGGGAGGAGCAGAGAGAGTGATGGGGAGGGAACCCCTGGAAGGTAGGCAGGAAAAAGGGCCACAGAGGACTATGGAAGAATAAGCTCTGGCTGGGTGTCCTAATTAGGGCTTCTGTTGTTGCGGCCAAACACCATCACCAAAGAGCAAGTTGGGGAGGAAAGGGTTTGTTTGGCTTACACTTCCACATTGCTGTTCATCACCAAAGGAAGTCAGGACAGGAACTCAAACAGGACAGGATCCTGGAGGCAGGAGTGGATGCAGAGGCCATGGAAGGTGCTGCTCCACTGGCTTGCTTTCCCTGGCTTGCTCTGCCTGCTTTCTTATCGAACCCAGGACCGCCAGCCCAGGGATGGCCCCACCCACCATAGACTAGGCCTTCCCTAATTGAGAAAATGCCTTACAGCTGGATCTCATGGGAGCATTTCCTCAGCTGAGTCTCCTCCCTCTCTGATGACTCTGGCTTGTGTCAAGTTGTCACACAAAACCAGTCAGTAGGCTGCCTCATGGGCCTGCCGTAAACAATACAGCAAGAGTGCCTCATGCCTTGGCCTCAGTTATTGTCCATATAGCATATCTGCTATGTCCTGATGTCATGTGCATCTTGGCCCAATGTGCAGGGAGTACTGGTGTCCCTGGGGACCTTGGGGGGTAGAAGGAGATTCTGATCTAAGTGCCAGCTTTCACAGGCAGAGCCCGCCCATCTTGCTGTGAGAATCTGAACACTGGGCTGGGGCATCATCTGACAGTACAGGCAGTGCCCACTGTACAGTTCCACAGGGATCTGGGGCACGAGGTGACACTGTCAGCTTTGCTGTGGCAGTTTGGAGTGATGCATGAGCTCCAGAGCCCTGGGGGTTTCACATAGCACAAGAGTCATCCCAGATCTCCTCTCCTTTCTCCAGCCGCTGAGGCCCTGGCCAGGGATTTCTCCGTGCTCAAGATCCGGCCACTCACACAGGGAACCAAGCTGTCCAAGCTCAAAGCCTTGCAGAGGCCAAGTAAGGGAAGCCTGCCCCTCCACGGGAAGGCTGTGTGCTTTTGTGTTTGGCTTGCTTTTCCTTCTTTATTTCCCTGCTCTTCAAGAGCCTGCGCTACAGCAGCTAGCGGGGCTCAGCTTCCCCTGGGCCTGGAGAGGGTCAGCTACTATGCGCATTTGTCCTCCTGCCCACACCCTCCTCGGGTCATTGATCTAGGAAGAGGCCCTTCCTCCAGAGGGCTGTGAAGACTGTCCTTTGGAAGGGTAAAAGGCCTACATGGACCTTGGTTCTGTTACTTACCTCAGTTACCTGGGGCGAGTCACTTGTACAGGAGCCAGATGGCAACTGTTAGGTCACTTCCCTCCGTTTCCTCTTCCAGAAAGCATGGCGGGGGCTCTGAGAGGTCAGTTTCTATGATAGCAAAGTTGGAACCAGCAGAATAGGCCCAGGGGAGGTCTGCCAGAGCCATCCATGCCACTGTGGATGGTGACATGGTCTTGTCCTACACTTCTTAGAAACAGTAAATATCCCGTCTTTATGTCCAACAGTCCGGGTGTTCTGTCCAGAGTGTTTCCTCCCAAAGAATCTCACAGAGCAAGGGGATGTGGGATTAATTCCTTCTGACTCCATTGTACGGATGAACCAGGTTGACAGGAGGGGCCGGTTTTTGTCAGGTCCCACTTGGAGGCAGAAATACAGGCCCGGGGCTCTTCTGGGTCCCTCTCACAGTCACCTGGCTGTTGTGGGCACAGCTGGGCCCCAGCCTCTGCCATACCACTAGACATGGCTGACCCTCACCTGGCTTTCAAGGATGCTCTGTCACCCAGAGGAGAGACATCCTGGCCAAGCCCCACCACTGGGTCTTCCTTCCAGAGCTCCTGCAGCTATCAAAGGAGAGGCCGCAGACAGATTCAGCAGTGGCCCGCAGGCTGGTAGCCCGGGCCTTGGGGCTCCAGCACAACAGAAAGAAAGAGCCGTCTGCTGCTCCGAGTCTCCTGCCATCTTGAGGCACCAGATCCAGCTGTCCAGACTAGACTGGACTCCAACACCATCACGCCTTTACAGACACAAGGACAGCCCCTTGTCCCCACTGGAACTGCTGTGGGGCACAGTGGGCTTTTGTTGATCTGGTCCCAGAAATTGAAAAGAAATAAAAATTTAAAGTTGTATTGATTGCATCCAAGTGTGGCCTTGAGGGACACTGGAGGGTGCCATTCCATCTCTTACTGTGGGTCTGTGGTTACTGACCTTGCCTGGAGGATCCCATCTTAACTTTGGGGGCATTTGTGCATGGGTGGCCTGTTTGGGGAATAGGTAATACTTGTCCATGTCACCTGCCCAGTCTCCCCCATTTCAGAAACCCCAGCGTGCCATCCTGTGCTGTGCGCAACTGTGAGTGTAGCAGTGCTTGGGTGTTATTTGTGGATGTGTGTTACAAAAGGGCTCCTTACAAAAGTAAGCTCGAACAAAGCTAAGAGGCGAGGCTTGAGTGCACACTGTGTTCCCCTCAGAAACAGGCCCAGGGGCATCCTTGTAAGACAGGACAGTGCTCTCCTCTCTTGAACCTTGGGTGTAGTATTGGAGGTGCCCACTCTAGAGTTTGGGGGTCATTGCTGATCTCAGGTTTGCTGGGGCCAGCACGTTTTTAACACAGGAGACCCGAGGGAGGGCTGCAGACCTGCTCTGCTAGTGCACACTCTCTTCCTTGGGAAGCTAGCTGCCCTGTGACCGGCTGCCCTGCCTGTTTCTGACACACTACTGTGTACTGATAGAGCCCTCCAGATCACAGGGACCTTTCCTGAAAGTGTGAAACTAAGCATGTATGACACTCCTAGATGTAGGAAGCTTTGGGCCTGGGGGCAGTGATTCAAATGAAACCTAGGTACGAATAAGGAACATTTCACTTCAGCCTACAAGTGCATGTGTGTGGTGGTGGTGGTGGGGGAGGTGTTGGTGAGTATAACCTATGGTCCAGTGGATAGCACAGCTGAAGTCAGTAACTTATGACTGACGCTGTCTCATGAGCCCAGTGACATGGAGCCAGCTGACAGTGGACCGAACCATAAGCCCAAATGAAGATTTTTTTCCTCCTTGCACATTGTTTCTCTAGGATGTTGGTCACAACAACAAAACACTTGCACAACAGTTACATAGGTATAGACAAAAATGGTATTACATATTAAGGTTCTATGATGGCTAACTTTATCATCAACTTGACTGGATCTAGAGTCCCATGGAAGACACATTTCTGCATGTGTCTGTTAGGACATGGTCAACTGAGGAAGGGAGACCCACTCTGAACACGGGTAGTACCATCCCGTGCATTGGGGTCCTCGACTGAATGAAGGGGGAAAGTCACATGGGTGTTAGCATTCTTTTGTCCTGGTCCACTGAGATTTGAGCAAGCAGCTCCCTGCTTTTGCCATAGCTTCAAGCTGCTCTTGCCCCCAAACCATGTGCCTAAAACCTTGCATCCCCCAGTGCCACTTCTTGGGTATGTGGTTGCAGCAATACGCAGGATAACACAAGCTGGGCCCGCCCTGAATAGTGTAACAGGAGATGTCACAACACCATTGACATCCACCTGAAGTCCTCTTTCCCCTTGGAGACCTCGGTTCTTGACTTTGCTACAGAGAAGATATTTCAGACGAGCAAGAATGAAGCAGAGTTAAAGTTTATTTAAAATATTTTAAATATAAATTTAAGTTACAGGGGCTAAGAGGTGCTCAGGGAGAGAGTAAGGCACATCTGAGAGCTGGGTTGTGGGCTTCTCAAAGGACAGCAGTTCTTGAGTGTCCTAGTAACTAGCCATACACAGGGGTTTGGAAGCCTTTGGTATTATTGATGGGTTTCTAAGTCCCACTCCCAACCTCTTCCCCTTGATAGATTATAGGGTGGCTCCAGAGGTGCCTTGGATAGGACTGAACCCTGATAAGATGGAACCATGGGTCATGAGGGTCTTGAGATATGCTTTTTACTGTAAATGGGGTTCCTGGTGAAGTTCTAGGACACTGTCCATTTACAGCTGGAAAAGGAGGAAAGGCATTTGTACTTCCTAATTCCTTGCTATTTTAACATTCTTACTTGAATTATCTCTATATAAGACGAACACTGTCTCTATATTAGCACCATTCACAATACGCTCAGTGTCAGCATTCTCAGCTGGCAAGAGCTTCAACCAGACTCTGAGGTGAAGGGCCCATCCTATGTTCCCCACGATTTTCTCTTCCTATCCTGTCTCAGAACCATCCAAATCTTCAGTCATCCCCTTGGAGTCTTGGAATGTAAGTCTTGCTATTGTACTTTAAACTGTGGGTATAATTGCATAGAATACAGAAGTTGGTGTAACAGGTTGTGATAGGGAACCTTGATTGTCACCTCGATGGGATTTAGAAGCACCCCCAAAACACACCTCTGGGTGGGTCTATGAGGGTGCTTCCAGAAGAGGTTTAATAGAAGAGGGACAACCCACCCTAACACTAGTAGCACCATTCCTCGGGATGGGCTGTAAGTTGAATACAAAGGGGAAAGCAAATGGAGCACCAACATTCACCAATCGACTTCCTGACTATTGATACAATGTGACCAGCTGGCGCATTTACCAATCCACTTCCTGATTATCGATACAATGTGACCAATCGACTTCCTGACTATAGATACAATGTGACCAGCTATGGACTTCCTGACTATGGATACAATGTGACCAGCTGCCTCCGGCACCTGCCGCCATGCCTTTCCCACTGTGATGGACTGAACTCTTGAACTTCCCTTAAACTGCTGTTGTCAGGTATTGTCATAGTAACGAGAAATGTAACTAATACAGGAAGATTAGTGCTGTGAGTGGTGACATCAATGTGATAAGCTTGGCCACGGAGTTCTTGAGCTCTGGGAATAGGTTTGCAGGAGGAATCTGGAAGATCTTGAAACTTTGGGCCTGAAAAGCCCTAGAGTGTTGAGAACAGAGCTGAATGGGCTATTCCGGTGGGAGTTTGGAAGACCAGAATGCCAAGAGAGGCCTGATACCTGAGGTTTCAATGGGGGCGCTAGGACTATCTGACTATCTGGATCTGAGCTAGAGGCCAACCGTGTTATGTCCTGGAAAGAACCCAGCTGCACCCTGCCTGTGTCCTGAGCACTGGGGTGATTCGTCAGAGTGATGGGCTAATTTGTTTGGCGGAGGACATTTTAAGATGGGATGACATTCAGGCTGTGGTATGGTTCTGCTCACTGCTCTTATTCAGGCCCACAGAAAAAAAAAAAAAGCAACTGGTATTCCCCCCAGGAGCATAAAGATACAGTTTGGTAAGGAAAAGAACATGCACAAGTTTACAGCAGCGGAGAAAGGTGGGTGCTGAGAAGGGTGGGTGCCGAGAAACAGCTCTAATTGTTAAAGAGCACATTGCCTTACATGTGTGAAGTCCTGGGTTTCATCTCCAGCACTCTGGAGGCCGAAGCAGGAGGATCAGAAGTTCAAGGTCATCCTCAGCTAGATCGTGAGTTTGAAACCAGATACCGCATGCTCCTGCTGCAATGCCTTCTTTGCCACGAGGCACTGGGTCCTCAAACCATGAGTCCAAATAAAGCCTTCCTTCCTCAAGTTGATTTTGTCAAGAAGTTTGTACAATGAGAAAAAAACACTTAATATAGAGGTCTTGATATTCAAGTTTTCCAGAAATAACCTAAAAGGGGGAAAAAATGGAATCTGGCTTGACCACCTCTGCAGTTGCTAAGTTCATACTTGCCACATCTCTAGAAGAAATGCAGAGCTTGGTGATATGACAATTAGGAAATGCCAAAACTTGGATGGGAACCTCTCATAGCTTGCCAGCCAGTTCCCATAGCCATGTGCCAAAGCCCCTGCCCCTGAGGCCTCAGGACGGGGACAAGTAGCAATGCCTGGTGAAAGAGCACCGTTCTTCTCGGCTGGATCTGGATAGCCGGGAGATGGCAACTGGTATTCCCCGCAGGGGACACAGTCACCTGAATGAGTAGGTGACCATTAAGTCATTTTTCTTTTCTTTCTCTCTTGTGTCTTTTTTCTTTTCTTTTTTCGAGACAGAAGCGTGGTCTAATGTCTGGAGTGGAAATCTCGTGGCAATCCTCCTGCCTCAGTCTGAGTGCAGGGATTACAGGCATGAGCCATCATGCCTGGCCCAGGGTCTTCTTTATTGCACGGAGAGCTGATTATTTAGAAGTCCACTGAAGTGTTCAAACTTCTGCTCAGTCTCCTCACTGAAGGCCCCACCTGGAGAGCAGGAGTCAAGGAGACAAAATTAGGCACATGCTCATCTGTGGCCCTGCTGAGCATACCCCAGGATGGTACCAGTGAGCTCTAGAGCCAGGAACGCAGCAGGTACAGTGCCAAACTTAGGGTGTTTAAATAGATACAGTGCCACCAGGAGTGGGACCTGTCCTGTACCAACAGAGGCAAAAACTGCTTTCCTTCTTGTTTCCCAAGGAAAAAACTTCATTGGTGACGAGGCAGGAGAGTGCTTCGCAGGAAAACCCAATACAGAGCCCGGAAACAGATGCCTACATAGTTGGGTCACAGGAGCGCTGGACTGATGACCTTAGCTCCAGTCCTTATGTAGACCTGGGGTCTGCTCTTGCTAGGCCAGCCAATACTGCGTCACCCTCTCTCTTTGGCCAGGGCTGACTGAATACCCAGTCCCCACCCAGGCCTTCATGCATCTCTGGCTTTCTTTCTGAGCTAGGAATTTGATGCTGGCTTCACTCCCAGCTTCTCCCAGATTAGCTGCCTCTGGTTCCCGGAGAAAGTAGGGCAGCTGTGTCTTGTGTCCTAGCCTCTTGAGGAGGGTGGGGCCGCCGAGGGAACTTACCTACGTGACAGTTGTACATCCAGATGCGGTAGCCATCATAGCGGCTTCTGCACTTCATGATGTTGTTAGAGAAATCTGATTCTGGCACCTCGTAGTTGGGGTTAATGACAACCTGCAGGGAATCAAGTCAGAGGGCGCTGCAACTCCCTTGCTAGCCATCCCCCTTAATTGTGGTTGGGTCTCCCCTAAGAGAGGCTGTGGCAAAATCAGGCTGATTGGGTCAGATGCTGTATCCTGGCCTGGTAGGGGCCACTCTGGAAAGCCTGTGTCTGGCCTGCTAACCACAACCTACGCAGTCCATGTGCCATGGGCACTGTCCATTCAGACAAACTGCTGAATGTCCCTCTCTGGGGTGGCCTGATTTTTCTTAGATTTCTCTTCTCCTTAAATCCTAGTTGTCCCCTCAGCCCAACACACCCAACGTGGGAATGGACAGCACCTCCCACACCAAGGTCCAGACAGTTCCCTGACCATTCTAGCATCCCTGAAGCATAGACGTGAGCGCTCCAGCCAGGTTCTCGGGGTGGGAGTGGCCCATGTTGGAGCGGGACTGGGGCGAGTTTCTGTGATCCTCATAGTCCTCCCCACACTCACATCGGGAGCATATGAGGGAAGTGTATTGAGGTCTTTATATCTGGAGGAGACAAAGCAAGGACCCCAGAAACCTATCTGCCCACCCACCCCTGCCTCTGAGTCTGCACATCCCTGGCCACTTCCTCCCTTCAAAAGTCCTCTTCCAATCCCTATTGCCTGTCACACAGTAAGCTCTACTGTCTGTCACAGAGGCTAGTTCTTGTGTCCTGTTGACTTATAGTTCAGAGCATCCACAGCTCTGTGTCATTAGAAACATTGGCATACCCCAAAGTCTACCCATCTGCTGATTGTCCCTCTTAGGGGACAAGAACACACATAGAGACTTGTGGCCTGCATTTGCCTAGCTGTGACATGAGGATATTAACAGTGTTCCTTCACTTGGAAAGTCTGTGGGTCATGCACTTCCTGGGAAAAGGCCAACCTGGGACACCAGAGACCTTCAAGCACTTTTAGCAGATATACATGTACCCTGCTGAGTGACAGAAAACTGCCAACATGAGCCACTAGACCCCGCACACACATCCATAGCCATGGACGTCCGTTCTTTAAATAAGAGCACTCTGCTCTCAGGCCTGCTGTGGTTCTGGGCTTGGCTTGTGACTAGAAAGTGCTTGGCTGTCTACTTTTCAGAGCTGATGAAGCCCAGGGGCCATTTCAAAGCACCCTGTGGTTTTCTTCTCTGCAGGTGTTGGCTCTTCAAGGAGCGTCTAGCAGTAGGGACTGTGGGCTAGACCTTGGGCTGGCTGAATTCCTCACTAGGAATGCTTTCAAAGCAGAACAACCAACCCATTTCTGCTCACACACTTTGCCATCCAACAGGGCAAGCTGGAAAACACAACACGTGGGGCTCTGTGGAAATGAAGCCTCTGTAGGCAGGAATGCAGCCACACGCCAGGAGACAACTGGGATGCGGTGCCTCCACCCCTGCCACATGGGCCTTGCTGGAGTATGCCACACTGTCTGCAGGAAGGTGGAGGCCAGGGCTCCTTGGCTCTTCCTCAGGGCAGGGCAGCCGGGAGCCCTCACAGAAGTCTCCTGGGTAGGGTGTCCTTAGCTGGACTTTCTAGCCTTACAGATTCACTTGAAAATCAGAGTTGCAGATAACACAATTGCTTTCAGCCTCAATAGAACACACCAAAGCAAGGCTGTGAAGAGTGGAGGAAATCAGGATGGTGGCTGAAGGGGAAGCAGAGGTGTAGGTTGCCTCAGGGTTCATGGACCAATTCCTGACTCAAAGTCTAAATCAGCTCACAGATACATTTTGGTGTCAAGCTCCCAAGGTTAATTGAATTATATATGACTGTCTCTACGTCTTGGGTTCCATTATGGGCTCCCAACATGCCCTGCAGACCCAGTATCCCTCGGGCCCACGTGCCTTATGTATAATGCTTGACAGATAGGATGGCACCCTGTCTGGCCTCATGAATCTTGTTTCTGGACACCCACAGGAAGGAGGCTGATGAAATCCTTCTCCTCCTCCCAGCAGCCCTGGGTTCTGCCCGCCTCACCTGGAACAGGTAGTCTCCAGGGGGCACATCGGTGATGTCTATCCACTGGCAGTCAATGTCATGACGGTACATGTCCCAGCAGCCCATGGTGATGCCTTGTTCTCCAAAGTTGGCACACTCGTAACTCTTCTGAATGTCTGCAGGCGGGCAGAGGAGAGCATGTACGGTCCCCACCTCACCTCTTCTAGTCCCCAAGCCTCCTGGCCCTGTTCCATCCCATCCTTCCCATGTGGGTTTCTGACACCCTCTCGTTTCAGCGGAACCTCCTCACTCAATTCCCTACCTACGTGCTACATTTCCTCCAAGCTTGGCTAAAGGTCCTCCTCCACAAAGTGCTCCCTGACCAATCTGGACTATGCTGGCATTCCTGTGAAATCCTTGGCCTGGGACAGAGATGCGTGTCGTGGTGATCCGAAACATCTGTAGTGCTTGCTGTTTAGCTTAACATGAGGTCATCTCAACTTTCTTCTATAGACCACCACAACAGCTGTGCTCATTTTTAATCTGTCTTCTTGGTCCCTCACAGATTGTCTGCACACAGTAGGTGTTCAAAACCTGCTTTCTGTGTGATTTCATGATGTCAGCAGTGGGCCACACCAGCATCTACAACCTCACGTGGGCAACAGGTAGAGGACAGATATCTGTCCTGCAAAGGTCCTTGGTGTGTCAGAGTGGCAGGTGTACTATCAGGCGATCACAGTAAGGTGGGATGACCTACCCGAGGTAGAAGCAGAATGATTTATGCATGAGGGTCAGAGAGAGGAGGTGGGAACATCACAGAGCTCTAGAGCCCGAAAGGGGAGAAGAACATGGTATTGGGACACCAGGAAGAATGGTCTGTGGCAAGCAGAGAGGTGGAGGCTGTGAGTCAGACTCAAGTGACCAGACCTCACCTGGAAGCCATGTAGCCCTCTCCCCTCCAGTTAGAACCCCAGCCCCAATGTGTAGCCATTGAAGGCCCCAGGAGTTGACAAATAAAGGCCACATGGAGAGGTACGTGGCCTAGCCTCCATTCAGATGAACTGTGTTCAGCCCAGGAGTGCTCAAAGTTCTGTGAAGCCCCGACCTTCCCCTTCCAAAATACCTCCTTCGCACTCTGTGTCCTCCAAGCAGAAGCTGGCCTTGTGGCCTTCAGCCACCTTGGTGCCATTGAGGCTCAGCAGGTCATAGTACGTGAATACTTCCATGCTGTGGTAGTGCCTGGAAGCCAGAAACAGGGCCCAACGTCAGTGTCTGGAACCATGGCTACCTGGAAGCAGCTTCCTAGCTGGTGGTTTGCCTCTACGAGAACCTCGAGGCATTGGGCCAAGGGTAGCAGGGAGAGAAATGAAGAAGGAACTGAGAGAAGGGAAGGCCAAAGCAAAGACAGTAACTTCCGGGCAGGGGTGCCAGACATTTTGCTCTGCCTTGGTGCCTTCATCAGGAGTGGGAATGGCATAACTTAATTCGTGGAATGTTGTAGGTATCAGTGAGCCCAACACAGTGTCTGGCATCTCATCAGTCCAATACAATAAGCATCTTAATATGCAGGGACCTTCCTGAGTGGCTCTCAGCCCACTCCCCACAAGGAACCTTTCTCCAGATTTGCTATAGGTCTAACAAATGCCCATGTATCATTCTTTCCTGTGGGGGCGCTATTGGGACACTAAGGACTATTGGGAGGTGCAGCCTATGAGAGTTTTAGGTGATTGGGAACATGCCCTAAAAGGGATTTCAGGACCATAGTCCCTTTCTTTCTCTGCTGGCTGGCTTCAGGTGTGTTTGCCCCTATGCACGTGCCCACACAGATGTGCCACCATCTGTTGCCCTTGGACACCATGGCTTTGAACCTTCAATACTGTGAACTAAACAAACCTGTCTAACTTAGTTTCCTCAGCTATTTTTTTAGACTAATATAAAACTATTACAACAGACTAATTTTTAAGATCACATATTTTTGTTTTTAAGTAGGAATAGAGAATGAAGGGAGAAGATAAATGGGGGGGTAGCAATCACAGGGAAACAAGAGTCACTAAGAAATAGGGCGTGTACCCAGAGAAGGGCACACATTACCCTAGTGATGCATGGGCACTCCGGTGTGTGAGAGGAGGCCTGGGCTTGGCCTGGGTGCCCTGGGAAGGGAGCAGCATGGGCTTGCTGCTAAAAATGAGCAAATCAAACAGGAAGGGGAAGGACAAGGGCTAGAAGGCTTCTGGGACGGAGAGTGGGTGGTTCTCAGGGAGGGACAAGGCAGCAGCTCAGGTTAGCATATCTCCAGGGATCTAGACGGGAGCTAGCTGAGGCAGCGAGTATACAAGATGTGTACAAGCCGGGTGCAGTTTCCTTGGCTGATTGTTTATGACAGTCCATGCCGTCACTTGAGAGAAATTGAGAACAGATGTCCTGCAGAGTGACACATCTGGTTCAGGAATAACAAGGGAAGCAGTGCAACTGAGGAGAGCTGAGGGGTTTCCAGAAACCTCCACTATGCAGGCCTAGGTCAAAAGACATCAGGCTGGCTTTAGCCTCATCTTCACCTGCCATGTGTGTGTCATACCTGCAACTATACTAACACACTCACTATTAGGGGACATTTAGTAAAGGAAGCCTCTTAAGACCAGGAACCATAGGGGCAGAAGCTCTGGCTTTGTTTACACCTGGCCCAAGTTTCCTCTTTGGTAAAGCAAGAATATTATTGCCAACTTCTGAGGCTCAAATAAGATACAGGGACACAGCTCAGTTATTAGAATGCTTGCCTAGCATGCAGGAAGCCTTTGGTTCGATCCTCAGTACCATATAAACTGGGCATGGTGTCCTGTGGGGCAAGGGGCTCAGAAGTTCATGGTCACCCTCAGTTGCATAAGTGAATCTGAGGCCAACCCAGGTACAGGACAACCCATCTCAAAAACTAAATAAAAGGACAGACATGCAAAGGAGCCCAAACGAGGCTGTAACAAAGGATGCTCTCAGTGTTGGCTGGTGTCCTTATTGTGTCTCCACCCATCTGCAGTCACAGCTGCAGTATTCAAGACTCCCGATGTCCTGTCACCCAGCCTGACTATTGGTGAAGCAGCCCGGAGTTTCCTCCGCCATGTGTGCAGGAGAGAAGAGGGAAGTGGAAAGGGTTTTCAGAGAGGAAATTAGAGGTTCTTTTCTTCCTCTCAAGTTTGCCCATGCTATATAAATAATGTCAGAAGTTGCTAAGTTGGGCTTCCCCAGGTCATTCATGTTTCTGGGTAAAATGGTTCTGGGCCAGGGCCAGCGAACAGCCCTTACAAGGAACATTTTGTAGCAAATGAGGTGATGACTCTGAGGCAGTCTATTTTGGCTCCCTGTGGGGAGCGGATGAGACATGAGGTCTGACTCACGGAATGAAAAATGTCTGCTCCCTCAGAGAGGGGCTTATGTGCCTTGCCGACCGGCTGGAAAGACCGCAGGGGAGTACGTTTATGTTCCGTTGTCTAAACAGAATTCAGATGGAGCCACAGATGGGCTGTTGTGAGGTGGCCTCCTGAAGTCTGGATTTTAGTCTTCTTTAGCTTCATTTTCTTCCTGGGAATGAGTACTGGGAGGAAGCCATAGGCCTCACGGCCCGCTGCTTCCTGCCGATCCCTGTCCTGAATTGCATCTGCTTTATCTCTTAGACATCCTTGGGGGCCACAGGCCTCTCCTAGCTGGTCTGAGGTAGAAATGGAAGCCACCTCCCACAGGCCTCCACCCAGGACATATTGATGGGTGCTGGGAAGGCAAGAGGGAAAATCTTGGGCAACACAGTGGCCCTCTTAGCAGCTCAGACTGAGCCCTGGGGTGGGCATTGGAAACTGCAGGCTTGAGAAGAAATCCCAGAATACTAAAAAAAAAAAAAAAGGGAGTGTGGCCTGGTGCTTCATAGAATTCTTATATATTTGTTTATTTGATTTTCCTTCCTGTGGTGCTAGGAATATTAGGTGCTCTACTACTGAGCACACCACCAGCCCTGGTTTTTCTTGAGACAGGGACAGACTAGTTCATGTTGGCCGTGGACTCACTATGTGGCCCCAAGTTCATTACTCTACCTACCGAATACTGGCATTACAGGCACAGGTTACCGTGTATAGCTTTTGAAGTCCTTGTAATGTAGATAAAGTGAAGGCTGGCCTTTACTGTAGGACTCCAGGGCTCTGTGTCCTGAGACCTGGTAGTCCTCTAGGGATGTGTCATGCTGGGTTAAAGAGTAGATGGAAGACAGACACAGCGTGTTCAGAGGAAACTCTTCATGTCTTGATGTACTGTCACTATAGATCGAGGAAGATGCACCATAAAAGACAAGGGTCCTGCTGTGGCATCTAGCTTGCCATCCACATTTGTCGTGCCTACTGAATGGTGAGAAGAGGAGCCTCTAACTGGTTCAGAGGCCTCATTACGTCCGTGGATGATGACCCTGTGGGGTGCTACGAGGCGTGTGGTGGGGGCAGGCAGGCTGGACTGATACTAGCCTTTCTGAAGCTGTGTCATTCCTGAATCCAGGGTTAAAGCCTGTGCTGGGGCCCATTCCCCTGTTCCTCCAGCTCCCTCCTCTCCACTCCAGTCTGCCTGGGATTCCCCAGGAAGTGAAGGGCAAGCCCCAGGATATAGTTGACTGCACCGAGGGTGCTGAGGTCAAGCAAGGGTACCACAAGTGCGTGTAAGAGCTCTAATCTTTGTGTTTCAGTTTTGTGTCTTCAAGAGCAAAGCTCTGCTCCTCTCTGTAGCAGATTGTGGAAGTGGTTGTTTCCTCATTCACATTAATCTGAACCAGGGCTCTCTCCTACTTAGCTCCATTCATGACTTCAGAGTGTCTGTAACCCTGCTGAAATGGAATGCCCGTTCTTCAGAGTGTCTGTAACCTTGCTGAAATGGAATGCCAGTTCTTTCAGAAACAAGTTTCTTGAAGGGCGAGGTGAGCTCTCAGGAGCCTCTGCAAGGGACCCACTTCAGCTCCCCCGGAAGGGCTTCCCAATGAGCCTAAAGTACCAGGCATTATCTCATGTTTATAATCCCAGCACTTTGGAATTGGGGGCAGGAAGATCAGGAGTTCAAGGACAGCTCTGGTTAGATAGGGAATCCAAGGTCAACACTGTCTCAGAAAATGCAGTAAAACAAAACCAGTGACCCTGGAGAATATCACCTGGAGCTCTGGAGACTGAGTGTGTGTGCGGGTCTCATGAAGTTCCTTGGATCTTGTGGTCATAGTTATGTACCTGTGACTAACTGTCCATCCCACATCGAAACTGCAGCATGCTATGTTAGTTAAAAAGATGTGGGGCCAGTCCCTGGGAACAAGGACAGAAGAGGGACTATACCAAGGTCACTGACCAAAGTTCACAGTGCAAGTGTGAGAACAACACTGAGGGTGCTACCTCCATGTCTAATTGACAAGAAACCAGGGGTGCCAGGAAAAGGGTCACATGCTTTGTCCATTTCTTCTCCACCCTCTCCTCCCAAACTTCTGATGGGAGCATTCGTAGATGAAGGAGAGAAGAGACCACAGAAAAGTGCAGAGGGAGGGTCACAGTCCCGGGGACTCCAGGTCACAAAGCTGCCATGATGTCACCATATGACTATTCTTAGAGTGGAGACCGATGACTCTGAGGGTAAGCGTATGGCACTTGGAGGTTCCTATCATGCAATCTTGGGTGGCCCACCATAGGAATGGCTGGGATGCAATTACCTTCTACTTACAGATCCATAGGCAGCAGCAGCAGCTCCTGCTGTCCTGGCTTCTCACCATATGGTCTCTAAGGGAAATCAGGAACTGAAACTGTCAAGACTTTAATTCTACTCCAATTTATATCCTGGCAAAGACTAAGTGATTCCTTGGGCTTTAGGATATTTACAACATTCAGCTACTTGTTTTAAAGGAAAATCAGAAGCTTAACTGGGATCATAGTATTTTCTTTTGGAATAGGTTGTACAACCCTATCCTCAAACTGATTTAAATGTCAATGGGTCATGATTTATGACAAAAAAAAAAGCATAGGGAGGTGTCTGATGAAAATTTGGAAGAGCTAATAGGGAGAGCAGCACATTTTAGAGCTGGTGAGCCCGGCTGAGACCCCTGAACTGTAACTCCTTATGCTATCTTGGGCTGTTATATGGAATTCCTTGGAATGGCCAAATGTGAGTACATCTGCCTCTATGTGACTCCAGCGTTAGAACTGGATGGAAGCCTAGAAGGAGCTTTCCAGGCTCTGATGTGCGCACAGACCAGTGGAGGTCCATGCAGATGGGTTCATTGGTCTGCAGCCATCCCTGGCACTCAGCATGCCCAGCTCTCACTGTAATGGTAGACACACTGGCCTAGGGGCCTCACTTTGAAAGGCAGGGATTTAGTGCAAATGTTTCCCATCATAGATGGAATATTTGAGCCCAGAGAACAGATCTACTAGGAGTTCATGGACCTCTAGAAGAGGGATTCCTCAAAGTAGGAATAGCAGTTCCTTTCCAACAGTGTGTCTGCAGTGTCCTCTTCCTGTCCAGACTGAGGACAAAATGTGACCAAGCAGTGACAGCACAGCCTGGATTAGGTTACAAGTCGAGAAGAGCAAAGGAAAATAGGAGGGGAGGAGGTTCTGGTGGCTTCCATAGGCCCTGGTGGGATTGTCTATAGGATTCCTCACTGTTCTGTCCTGACCCAGTCTTTGCAGCACCTGGATCACAGCCACAGACGAGCTGGAAGGGAGCCCAGAAGTCCCAGCAATGTGGCTCAGTTGGCCTAATGTCAGGCTGCTGGTCAGGGCTGGCTTAGCAGGCTTAGACCAGTTCTCATGACTCTGAATCCTGGAGCTCCTATCTCTATACACCTGTCTCCCTAGAGATATTAAAAATAAGGAGATGGCCAAGGGAGATTGGGAATGGCAGTGGGGGGGGGGAGGGAATCAAAGTACAACCATGTGTATGCAAATGCCCTAATGAAACCCATTAAGTTGTAGGCTAACTTTAAAATTTAATTCAAAAGAACTTCATAATGGTATGCAAAATATATTTCTATATGGACTGAGGGTCCGAGGCTGCAGACCTGAATGTTCCTTGTAGAGTACAAATGTATTGTGCGTGCATGTGGAAACTGCCGACTGAAGGTTGTCCCCGGAGGACCCTGGCACTCACATCAGCATGTCTCTTAAGGCCACTGAAGCCAAGAGACAGGGACTCTGCAAAAGGAGAGGCAGCCAGTGAGCCAGGAGAGGAGAATGGCTTCCAGAGACACAAGTTACTCTTCTGCCTACGTCTTAGATTGCTGGCCTTCAGGAGGTGACTCTGGCATTCTAGGTCTCCGGTCTGGGTACATGAAGAACACCAGGCTGGGTAACTGAATGACCAATGAAGCCATGGCCTACCTGTGGCAGTCATGCCAGATCCACGCGTGGCGGCCATTCTTGGGGCGGAAGTCGGACTGGCCATTGTTGTGGATCTGGGAGGAGAAGCGTAGAAGACGACGGTGGCCTGTGGTGGGGTTGGTGTGGACAGCGGAGGCTGAGAGGCAGTTCTCCTCCATGGCACACTGCAGCAGGAACATGGGCCTGTCCTCCAGGTAGGCAGTCTGTTGCACAATCTCCGCATTGAGTACCAGGTCGGGTGCAGCTGGGGAAGACAGATGTGGGTCACAGACAGGAAACCCCTTCCCAGGGCACCCCTGAGAAAAGTGTCATCATTCTCATGTCCTTCTGGAGCTGGCCTAGGGCTCCTCCATATTACCTTCCTGTCACCCCCAATTATACTTTCTCTTTTCCAGAAGTCTCTGGACATCCCCTTCAGTTACCAGTATGGATGGGAAAACTGCTGACATGTTCGGGTGCTAGACCAACGGCTCCTTAGATCATTCTCTCCACTTTCAAGCCCCTCAAGCTTCCCATAGTAAAAAGCAGAACAATAATGGAGACACCACTCACCCTTGGTGTGACTCTCCCAGCACACATGTGAATTTATGGCCATGCCCCTCAAAATGCATCTTGACTATTGATGTCTAAACACTGCAACATTCATTTTATGGTTCTGTAATATTTAATTAATCACCTGCTTCTATCTTTTAGAGAGGCAATACCTTGGCTAACTTGAATATTTCCAGGAGGAAGAGCCTCGTGATTTTAAAACTTAGATGCAAGAAGAAAAAAAAAAAAAGAAAGAAAGCAAAAAACCAAAAACTTGGATGCATGTTGTAGGAGATAGGGGAAGAAGGCCTCTTTCCACAGATGTGAATTGCAGAGCTCCTGTGAAACATGGGCTTAACGAATGCATTTCAGAGAACGGCCCACAGCAATGTCCCAGGCCGAGCTTCATAAACTGTGGGCTGAGACCCCCCACATGAAGTTGTATAAGTGAATGTGGGGGTCTTGAAAATTTCGGGAACAGTAAGAGATTTCTGAATACACAATGACTGAAAATTAATTTGAAAATCAAATGCATAATGAGGCTGAGGTATTTCTAGCAGTGCCTGCCTATGTTGCATTGCGTGACTTCACCACAGCCTTGGTTCTGAACACACAGCATGCACGCTTTGCATTGTACATGACACATGTGCAGCACCAATGAACACTGCCGAAAACATGTCAACTCATATTCAAGATTTCCATATATTATGATTTATAGCGCTTTTACTGTACACAAGAGCTTTCCGTTCTTGGAGAAACATGGTTTAATTATAGGCAACAAAGACTTCTAATATTTTCCTCCCATCATTCCTTGGCAAATAAATGTCACATCAGCATATCTTTAGTTGTATTATAATATCCCATTTCAAAAAGTGCTGCTTGAGATACTGACTTGAATTTTCACTTTTATTTTTATTTACTTATTTTTTTGGTTTTTAAAGACAGGGTTTCTCTGTATTGTTTTGGAGGCCAGCCTAGACTACAGAGTGAGTTCCAGGACAGCCTCTAAAACAATACAGAGAAACCCTGTCTTGGAAAACAAAAAAAAAATTTTGGTTTGGGATTAGAACAGGTTTCCAATCATCTCTGAAATGGCCCTATACATACTTCTGTTGCTTTGTATTACATATTTATGCAAATGGTGTTCTTAGCATTAACAATTATATCAAAGTACTGATCAACTCTTATTCATCAAGATTTCTTTATGCAAAAATAAAAATTACACCCATCTTATTAGTATGTGTGCTGGCTAGTTTTTATATTAACTTGACAAAAGCTAGAGTCATTTGAAAGCGGGAACCTCAATTGAGAAAAATGTCCCAACCAAATTGGCCTGTGAGCAAATCTGTGGCAGGTGCATTTTCTCCACTGGTAATTGATGTGGGAGAGCCCAGCTCATTGTGAGTGGTGCTCGTCATCCTGGGTTCTGTAAGAAGGCAGAGTGAGCAAGCCATGGGGAGCAAGTCAGTAAGCAGCACTCCTCTACCGTCTCTGCTTCCGTTCCTGCCTCCAGGTCCCTGCTCTGTTTCTGGCCTGACTTCCTTCTCTTGGTGATGGATTTATAGACTTCCAATTGAAATAAACCCTTTCACCCCCAAGTTGCTTTTGATCATAGCAACGGAAACCCTAACTGTGCATATTTGATTTCATCCTTAATAAATGGTAAAATTGTATGTATACAAAAGAACTTTTGCAAAGGAAACGTGTGACTTGTTATCAGCAAATGTTTGACTTGTATGCTTATTTTATACACTAGTTAAAGTCATGTAAAAAACATCTCAGGCATCTTGAGTGGAAAGGCTTAAGAATACTGGTCCTCTAAGACCGACTTCCAACAGACGCAGAAATCTCATTTTCTAACTGTTGCATGTTGTGTTGGTGAGTTTTAATTATCAGCTTGACCTGCAAAGGGAATCTCAGCTTAGGGATTCCCTAGATCAGACTGGCCAGTGAGCATGTCTGTCAGAGACTGTCTTATTGCTGATTGGCCCAGCCTATTGTGGAAAGGGTTGGTAGACAGTAAGCAAGCAGGCAGCATGGGTATATTTGTCTCCCGGCTCTTGAAATGGACGTGACACTTTAAGTCCCTGCCTTGATTTCCCTGCAATATTAGAGTCTAAACTGGAATTATGAACCAAGTGGACACTTTTCTCCTGTTACTTTCATCAGGATATTTTATCCCAGCAACAGGAATGGAACTAGAGCAAAGGGAAATGTCTCAAGAGTATGGCTTGGAGCTTTGATTTCCCAAAGAAATCATTCTTGACTATGCACGTGGGAACATCTCCAGTTTATTCCCAACTAGCCCCATACTTATTCTGCAAGTTTTTGTTTCAAGCAGTGAACTGGGCTTGCATGTGTCTCCTGGTAAAATATTCAGTGGTTTCATATCTGCCTTGCTTGACTCTGTAGATAAAATGAGATTTCTTGACTCTGTAGATAAACCACTGGCAACTTGAGAACTCTCCAGGTGACCTAGTCCCATCTCTGGTTCTCAGTGAACCAAACTCACTGGCATTTACCTGAGCGGGCAGTCTCTGTTGAGCAAATCCACTCAACTGAATAATGTGTGGAATGGGGAATAGGGAGGGAAGGCACCCAGATGGGATGTGGGCAGAGAGGGGAAAACCTCCATCAGGAGACTTGATCAGCTGGCAAATAATTCCCTTCAAGGGCATGCCCTGTGTGATAATGTTCAGTGCCCAGACTTCCTCGACAGTGTGGTGCGACTCTTCTAAGATGTGGCTTCCCTGGTTGGCACTGAGGACTTGGTTCCCTAGCTACTCTGAGCTGAACTGAGTAGAGAGGTGTCCATAGGGACTTCTCCTGGGAGGAGGTCAGCTTCCCTTGAACTCAGGATAGGTTAACTACACGTAGTTTATACTTGACTTAGTAGCCTAGAGATAGGCAGCCATGGAGCTACCAAGTATTCTAGTAACAGATATAGATGTCTTGGGTTCACTGGAGACTGAACGGGAGAGTGGAAGTGTAGACAGCATTAGCCTGGCTTGGAGGAAGGAAATCAAAGAGCCATGTACCTTCTCCCCCACCCCACACGAGAGTCTGCATGCTACATACAGCAAGGGGAGGTGGACAGGTAGACACATACAGTAATGGTGGGGGAGAAGGAAATGCAGCTGAGAAAATGATGAAAGTGAAGATGAAGATGGACTGTATGTAGAGCAGTGAGAGTTCATTACCTAGGAGCCAAGTACTCAAATATATGAGCCTATTGAACCACCATAGGTGGGAAGACCTACCCTGAATATGGGTGACACCATTCCATGGGCTAGAGTCCATGAATTACATGGAAAGGAGAACTCCAGCATTCATCTCTCTCTGTTTCCAGATTGTGAATATAATGTGACCAGCTTGCCTCTCTCCCCTCTCCTGATTGACTGTATCCTCAAATTTTAGCCAAAGTAAACTGTTCCTTTCTTAAGTTGCTTTTATCAGGCATTTGGCATTTGTGGTAGTATGAATACAAATGAACATAAGCTCATTGGGAGTGGCACTATTAGGAGGTATGGCTTTGTTGGAGTAGGTGTGGCCTTGTTGGAGTAACTGTGTCACTGTGGAGGTGGGCTTTGAGGTCTCATATACGATCAAGCCACACTCAATATCTCAGTTCATTTCCTGTTGCTTGCATATCAAGATGTAAAACTCTCAGCTCCTTCTCTGCCTACACGCTGCCATGTTCCACCGTGACGATAATGAGATGAACCTCTGAACTATAAGCCAGCCTCAATTAAATGTTTCCTTTATAAGAGTGGCTGTGATCATGGCATCTGTTCACAGCAATAGAAACCCTAACTAAGAACAGTACTAAAAATTAGAAAAGTTACTGATACACATTACCTAAACTAATCCTTCCCTGTTTCCTCTTTACCCTGTCATCAGCCAGGTTCTGTGGTTGTGGAATAGGTATTGTTTGTCCCTTTTGACCTAGAATCCACTGTGCTTCCCTCTCCTGAGCACACACTGTGAAACCCCAGAGTCTGGGAAGAATAACTGATTGTTTCCTGAACTCCTTTAGAACCTGGGTCAGGTGGGAAGAGTGAGAAGCAGTTCTTAGAAATTCTTACTTTCTGAGCACGCGACTCCAGCACCAAACCGCACCCCACCCTCAGGGCAGGTCACCTCCTCATCATGGTTGCAGTGTGCCAGCGACAGCTCTGTCCCTGAGCACTTCACTCCACTCATGACCACTTTGTTGGCGAAGACATTTCCATGCCAGTACCAGGTCTCCTGGAGAAATCAACCAAAGAAGTCATTAGTATGTCACCTTGTCAACTTCTGACTTCACAAAATGCTCAAGGTTTTATGATCCCATTTTCCAGATGGAGCCAGATGAGGCACAGATAACCATTTATCCCAGCCATGTGGTTAGCTGGTGATTGGATGAGTGAGCATCTGCGACTAACCCTGGGTTTGCAGGAGAGGAGAAATCCATTCACATATACCAATAATTAGCTGTCTCATAAAATTCAACTTCTGGATTTAATTCTAGGAAAAGCATTTTAAAGGATGCTGTCTGAGTAGCCCCTGGGTTTGTGATGCTGAGATTATGTTCCTTCTAGCTACAGAACTTCAAAACACTGTTAGGATACACTCTTATAGTTCAAGAACTTTCCAGTAGAGAAAACGGGGGTAGGTAGGAGGAAGACAGATAAAGAGCTTTAAGAGAACATAAGATCCTGTGCTCCTGAGGTTTCCAGGGTTTATTTATGGGTCAACTTAACTCAGTGACAGTACCCAGATAGTTGCTTAAACACTACTCTAGATATTTCTATGAAGTAGTTTTTAGTTAAGACTAATGTCAAACTAAGTTGATTTGAGTATTGAAATTGTATTGCATCATGGGGGATAGGCCTCGTTTAGTCAGTTGACAACCTTACAAGGACAAAAGATGGAGGCCCCTTTGTGAACAGGGTTTCTACCTGCAGAATGCCTTTGGATTTGAGTCATTCTTTGGGTCCATGGCCCTGTACAATTTAGACCTGTCAGCTTCCCAAATCATGGGAGCTAATTGTGTCAAATCAATTTCTGTCTATTGGTTGATGGGTAGATAGACAGCTTCAGATAGCCTAGAGATAGGGAGGTGGCCCTCTCTCCTTGAGTTCTACAGCCAGGGATTCATATAGCCTTTGCCAAGAAAAACAATACCATAACCATAAGAATAACATTTACACTATATTAAAGATGACAAGCCATCCAAAGACAAGAAAGCTCAGGGGAGGACATGTGCTCTGTAGACCAGGCTGGCCTCGAACTCACAGAGATTCACCTGTCTCTGCCTCCCGTGTGCTGGGATTAAAGGTGTGCGCCACCAACGCCTGGCAGGGGAGGACATGTGTAGATTCCAAAGGAACATTGCACCATTTCATAGGAGGACTGCAGCATCGTGGAGACTGGTCCCCCAGATCACTGAGGGATGACTGTATCTACATCCTATTAGTTCTGTTTTACACAGAATCTGAACAGAATCCTTCTAATTCTCCACAGGAAAAACCTAGGGCCCTAATCAGAGATAGGACTTGTCTTCAGTGACTGTTTGGAACCCCAAGCTGAGGCCTAAGTGTCTATCAGAGAAGAAAACTATCTAGCTAAGAGATCTGCTATTTGGAGAATCAGTGTTGTGTGTGTCTAGTTTGCCTTGGGAAGCTAAGCTCCAAGATGGTGTGAGCGTGTCTCTCCTGGATACTAGAAGGGTGAGATGCAGACAAAGAACACAGACACCCCTAGTTCAGGACTCAGCCCGTGTCAGTCCATGGCAGACAAGCTCAGCACGGATGCTGAGCTCCCTCCTCAGGCCCCAGGAAAGGTTACCTGGAACCAGGAGACAGTCAGGTCAGCAGACAAGATGGCCCACAAAGTCTTGTCCTGCTTCCTGAAAATGCTCAGTGCTGGACCTGAGGATTATGGATCCTTCGTGGGACAGCTGGCTCACACAAGAGTGGGCATTTTGCCACAGACTATCATGCAGGAATTGACTTGGGAATACCTGGGCCTCTAGACCTGTGTTCCCTGTGACAGGGGGCAGGGAAGCAGAAATGAAGACCAGAGTGACCTTACTGTCTCTACTGAGTCATTAGGTCATTAGAGAGTGGCCCAGGCAGGAAGGCGCAGCCAATGTGACAATGAGGCACAGACACCAAGGAGGAAAGGGTCCAGTCACAGAGGGCTTCAAGGAAACAAACTAAGGCATTTGGAGTGTTGATCCTGGCACTGGGTGCTCCCCACTTTCCTCAAGGACTGAATTATACCCCTCTACAAACAGCATACAGGACACTTCAGGCTCAGCCCTCAGCCTGTGGAGAGCCCCAACATGCAGACTGCAGTGGTTCACAGACAGCAGTAAGTGACTCAGGGGTGTCCAGCCTGCAACCAGTGGGTCACAGGAGGTCTCAACAAGCCCACCATAGCTAACGATGCTGTTTAAACACAAAATCAAAAACTTAATTAAAACTATGAGTTTTCTCTCTAATGTTCTTGCAACTGGAAGGCCCGGTGTGAACTTTGTACATGACAACATTGTGTCACAATGTCAAATGGCTGGACACACCTGGAGCCCCTTATTCTGTTGCTTGAAATTGAAACTGGGATAGGAAACACTTGCCCCAGGCCTCAGGGTTGTCAGAGAAGGGGCTCTGGCTAGAATGAGGTCTCTTGCCTTGGTCCGGGGTTTGCCTGATCGGGCCCTTTCTTAGTGGCTGGGGAAAGTTACTTGACCAGAAGAACTGAATGAAGATGGGAAAGGTCAGGCTGGATGGAGGGTGGACCAAGCTGTGAGGCTAGGACCACTTACCTGGAAGGCGTTGCTGGCAAAGCCCAGGCCTAGCTGCCGGCAGACCACCATGGCCTCCACAATGCCCCAATTTTGGCCGCATACAGTCCCCCACACAAGGGACCCATTTCTCTCTGTTAGTACCTCCACTCGGCCCTCATAGGGGTTGCGGCCTCCGTTCAGACGCAGCTGTGGATAGGGAGAAACACGGTCATGAGGATGGACAGGAGGTTCTCTCCCGACTGCCACTAGCTCTGAGCCAGGTAGTTATTTGGCCACCTCTGGGTTCAGAATATCCTTAAGAGTCCTCCTGTGTGTCAAATTATGCCAGCATGAACTCAGAGAGGCCTCACCCAGGTGTCTGGACCCCATCCTGAACACCACTCTTCTGGTAATGTAAGTGCCTTCTAAGAGGCGGCATGAGTTATGTGTGTAGCATCTGGATCCTGCTAGATCTGTTCACTCACTCACAGATACTAGGTACCACAGACCACTCACAGAGCCTCTCACTGTGCCTCTGTTCTCCCAGTGATAGAAGAAACGAAGCTTCACTGTAGCTGGACAAACAGAACCCAGAGCCTTGTGCATGCTAGGCAAACACTCTACCAACTAAACCACATCCCAGATCCCATTCCCTAATGCCTATGCATAAGCCCCAATGCTATTTGCTCCACTTGGAGGTGTGGTCTCAAAGGGGACAATTAAGGTCACATGAGACCATATGGGAATGCTATAATTCAACCAGACTGATGCCTTTATAAGGAGAAAAGAGACCCCGGGGGATGTAGCAGGCACAGAAAGGGGTTACATAAGGACAATAAGAAGGTGGCTGGAAAGAGGTCAGAACAGAGATGCCTCAGAAGAAACTGAGCCTGGCAATGCCTTTGATTGGCTGTATTCTCCTGGCAGACCCAGGAAGAAACCAATCCCATTGGTGAAGCTGATGGTATTTCATTTTTGTCAGCAGAAGCAGACCTATGGTGATAAAACTCAGATGCTGTGCTTCTCCCAGCACGGTGGCTGGCACATTTGTTAGTCTCATGCCTGCCCATGCTGTGTCTGTCTGGCCATCACAGCAAACATAAAGCCATCTTGCATTGGGGTTGAGCTCAGGGAGCATAGCCCTGAACCTGGGTCTTTGAAAAGGTGAGAGTTGTTGGCAATGGGAATTCAGCACTTTTGTGGCAGCAACCAAGCGTCTGGCCTAGCTTGGCTCTATCTACTGACCATCAAAAGGTTCTGGAAAGCCTCCTTTCTTTGGCTAAGGTCTGTCATGCCACTGAGCTTTGACTCATCTGGAGAATGACTCAGCACATTGGGACTTAGGGCTTGCCATGGGTTGCAGTGCTAACAGGGTTCCCTTAGAATACTTCTGGCAGCTCCAGATGGCAGATTCCGCCGTGTGTGCATTCCTGTTCACCCACAAGGAATGCATAGCTCAGTTGCCTACTGCTGGGTTCACACCTATGACCAGTTAAGGATGGTGAATTGCATCAGGCATGCCTTAGTGTTCTTGTGTCAAGGTCCAGGACTGCTGTCCAAGCAGGAGCCTGCCACATCTGGTGCCATGATGAGTCTGTTTAAATAAGCATACAATGTTAGCTCGATGACATATGGCGCAGCACCCAACAAACTGAAGGCACAGCGGAGAGCACTGTGTAGGAAATCTTGAGTGTTTTGTTTGTTTGTTTGCTTGGTTTTTGGTTTTTCAAGTTAGGGTTTCTCTGTGCAGCCTTGGCTATTCTGGAACCAGCACTGTAGACCAGGCTGGCCTCGAACTCACAGAGATCTGCCTGCCTCTGCTTCCTGAGTGCTGGGATTAAGGTGTGTACCACCACAGCCCGCCAATCTTGAGTATTCTGTAGCATTGGCTAGACTTCTGAAGGACAAGGAGGTGGGGGATTTTTCTCTGTGAGCAAGGCTGACAAACTTTAAACCCTGCCTCAGGAAGGGTTGAGTCTGCTTGCAATTCTGCTGGCTTCCTTCAATTCCTTCTGCTTACACACTGCTGCCTGCGCTATGTTCACACAGTGCTCCACAGACCTGCCATCTATCCATGAGGCACCTCGGAGTCCTCGAAGAGAACCTATGCCAGGGGTGTCAGAGGTGTGGTAGACCTTCAGTCCCTCTGCCACTGTACCACATGGCTAGTCCCAAAAGCAAGGGTTCATCCACAGGGAGACGTCAGACGGCTGCCACACCAAGAGCAGCATTTATATGTTTGCTCATTTGGCACACTTAGAAATCCTGGCTGGTGATGACATTGATAGCGATAGTGGCAGAGCCAGCGTCAAGAGTTCATCTTAGAGCACCTGTGCATACCTTGGACAGTCATTCAGAGTAAGGCCACCTGGTCTGTATTCTTTGGGACCTCAGCATTACAGATCCCTCTGGGAATTCCATCTACTCACCTTTTTCTGGAAGCCCATGATGGGAATGTTGCATCTCACACCAGCATCTTCCTCGTGGTTGCAGCCCTGCGACTCTGTGTTGAGTTTGCAGTCTATGATGGACTTCTCCGTCCCTGTGCATTGGACCTCGTTGAGGTGGATGGGTCCAATCCCTAGGAAGGGAAAGAAGATGTGTGCTATAAAATCACCTGGAGGAAGTGTCCTAGAACAGGCAAAAAAGATCCTAGACACCAGACTCTGCCTCTTCTGTCTTCACAACTCTTCCAACCACAGCCCCTTCTCCCTGGAGAGAACTGGGGGTGCATATTTTGCCATAAGTGCAGTAAAATTCACTACTAAACTTTCATGTGACCTTGGTCAGATCACTTAGTATTATGGCTTGAATGTAAATACTGCCCACAAGCTCATGTGCTTGAATGCCTGGTCACCAGCTGGTGGCGCTGTTTTGGAAAGAGTGTGAAAACTTTAGGAGATGGAGCCTTGTTGGAAGAAATGAGTCATGGGGGAGAGGGCTTTAGGGTTTGAAAGCCAGGTACCACTTCCTGTTCATTATTTATTTCCTTTCTGACATCAGATGGATGCGATGGGACCAGCTGCCTCATGCTCTGGCCACCATACCTTTCCCTCCACGATGGACTATATCCCTTCTTAAATAAACTAAGCCCAAACGAACCATCTTTTTCTCAAGTTGCTTCTTGTCAGGTCACATCAATGGGAACAGTAACTCAAACACTCAGCCTCCCTGGTCACTAATAAAGGAGTCAGATTAGATGGTGACACCTTCACCTGCAGCTACCATAGTCTAGGCATCTAGGAGTCTCAAAGTAGTAACTATGGTTGTACCTGTAGAAGTCCCTGCAGGAAACAGTTAGCACACACAAACTAGGAGGTCTGAGTTAGGTCTGAGGGGGGCATTTTAAAATACAGCCAAGGGTGAGGTATAGGGAGTGCAAATCACAGGGCAGTTAAGAACTCCGGGCTAATAATAAGCTCACCTGTGAGAGAGATAAGAGCCAATAACTCATGTAGCAGGGGTATGGAGAGGAGAAGACCCCTGAAATGAGCTGTCACCTTCCATGGAGGGACAGAGCACCCATGGCAATGTCTATGTCTTTTTCCTCTGGTCACCTCCAGTATCCTGTGTTGGCAAAACCCAACCATGCCTCGAGGCACTAGGCATCCTGGTGAGGGTGGGGAGTGGACTTGGAAGGGCAGACAGGAAGCATGCTGAAGGCGACATGGAGATGGTGCTAAGAAGCTCGTCTTTCTGAGGCTGGGATAATGAGAGAGAGCCTCGGACTGGAGAAAAGGGGTACTCAGGCCCCTCTGCTTGAAGAGTCATCGGACTTTGCCTCTTGTCCCTAGAAGTTTCTCTACAGTCCCTCCCCACTGCAGGAAATGACACCTCCTAGCACCCATGGCATTGTTGGAACCCCAAGATCATCTCTGGGTTTCTTCCAACCCAGATAATCCACCCATCACACTTGGCTCATTCATTTCCCCAAATCTGGGTGCTTGGTTCCTACCCCCCATTTCCTGAGCCATAACAGTTTCCTCTCCTGTGGACAATGACCAAATGACATTTAGTCTCCCTCTCTGCCCTATTCCAATATCTTCCCCCGCATAAAACCCCATGGGGTTTTAAATTCATGTTAAATGCCTCCCAGGGCTTCTCACTGCCCTTAGGTAGCAGTGCCCATGATCCAATGGCACCAGATGGTCTTGGAGGCCTTGTACCATGTGGCCTCCCACTCATGTTCCAGCTCTGTCCACGCCTCCTGTCTCAGTCACAGAGCTCTTAGGTTCTTCCATCTCAGCTGCAGGAACCTTAGACTCCTCCCAGATAAGCCACAGGGATCTGGGATTCTGTCATGGAGCAAAGTGCTCCTTCCTCTGCCTGGTCCACTCCCTCTCACAGCCCACCACTGACACCCATCCATCCTTCATTTCCCTGGAGAAGCCTCTCTGGTCCTCACTTCACTCCCCCACCCCTGTCTGTACTGTATTTGGTCCTGTGGTCGTGTGTGTGTGTGTGTGTGTGTGTGTGTGTGTGTGTGTGTCTGTGTGTCTCCCACTTTGAGTACTCTTCTCTAACTGGTTCCCTGATGCCATCATCCCCTCCAGGAGGCAGGGAACATGTTTTCCTTTGCTATATTCCCAGATGGTCCTGGAAAGGCAGGAAATCCCCACAGCATCCACACAGATGCAACTGACATCACTGAGCCTCAGTGCTGTGGATTATGGACTCAGGAGGCAGGGTCTGCCCTGGAAAGTTCCCAGTCCCTGGGTAGGCGGGAGTCATGTGGAGACTTACAACATATGTAGTCAGAAATAAACACGAAGATGGCCGCAGAGCCTAGGAAGGTCTTTGAACCTATTAGGGGAGCAGAGTGTCTAGATACAGTCACCATACAGCTGTCCTGAAGCCAAAAACTGACTGCAAGAAGGCAAGTGCTAAGTTTCTGCTTCCTTAGAAATTTATAAATGAATACGTTTCTAATTTCTTGGAATTTTATACATTAGTAAAGATACACATTGAAATGTTGCTGGAAGATTACAAGGCTACAGCAAAATACAGAGCCAGAGTCATAGGATTAAGGCTTGTGTTATAAATTTGAGGGTGATGGCAGAGAGATGGCCATGGTAGGTGTCTACTATGTTTCGGATCCCAAACATTCATCTTACCTTAATTCATGTAAACATCACAACAACCCACTGTTGCATGTGCGACAGACCTGCCATGTGTATTTCTTACTGTGGACAAAAGGCTTTTGCTGACACTTCTCTAGCACTGCCCTTCCCAATACTCAGGAGCCTGGTTACTAAAAACGTAGCCAGGGCAAGTATATGGGCAGTAAGCATAGAATACACGATGAATTACAAGCTGTTTTATGGAAATGCAAGCAATCTTGTTAACAGCATTTCTATCAACTGCATGTTAAAATCGTGATGTTTTACATACACTAGGTTGAACAAAAATATATTGTTAGAATTAACTTCACCTGCAATTCTTTCTCAAGTGACTACTAAAAAATTCAAAATTACTTTATGCTGGAAAGCACTGGTCTGCAGAGTTGGAATGTTTGCCAAGTATTTGTTCAGTTGACCACACCTATTCAACTGGAGTGTGTCCCCCTCTTCCTGAGGTGCCTCCCTTCCTCAGTCCCCCACCCCGTGTACCCTCCTGGACATCTCTGGAGCAGTACCTGCTGTGCACAGAGTAAGGACAGGCACTCAGGAACACAGGTCCCCTCACACTTGGTTCAGTTGTCAGGGAAGGTGCATGTGTTGGAATACATCATCCATCCTAGTGACACCAGAGCCAGAGAGAGCCCCACACATCACCTATCCAGTTACCTTGTTTTACAGTGAAGTATCTCAGGACCAGAAGGTTCTTCAAGGTCACAGACAAGTAACTAGGCCAGGGTGAGGACTCAGCCTCTTCCCTTTCACTACCCATGGGTTTGGGTGTGGTTTCTTGTTCCATCGACTGGAGCCAGGACTCAGGAGCTGACCCTATCTGCTCTGGGGCATGCCTTTGAATGTGGTACTTTTCCTTTCCTGTCTACAATCGTCATCTACCCAACGTGGCAGAAGGCAGATAAATCTTCCATGGTGCCTTGAAGGCCAACATCAAAGGCACCCAAGGCCTCTTCTTCCTAGAATTCCTCAGGCACTTGTAAACCTTTGGCTGCTCTGGGCGATGAAAAGAATTAGGTCATACAGCACAGACTCATGACACATGGAATGTCCATGTCATCAAGTGCTTGTTTATGCCTTGGGGTGAGTGGCTGTGGTCCTGTGGACCTTAGGAAAGCTCAGACCATGTGAATCAACCAGCAGAGTAGACCGTGGAAACACTGAGGAGCCTGATTCCTTCAATGGGGCCTAAGGAGAATGGGCTGTTGTGTGGCATAGCCAGAGGCTTCCAGGTAACACGATGTGTTTGTTGCTGTTGCATCTGTCCCTAACCACCTACCCTTTAGTACACACTTGCAACATCGGCACAAGAAATGATCAAATGTCATCAAGACTAGTCAAGCAAGGATTCAGGCAGTGTCAAAAAGGAAGCCAAAATCTAAAGAGTGAGGGAACTTGACCTTCAGTCTGTCTGCCAACTATTAGGTCTCCCTGAGCCTTAGATTCCTCATATGATGAACCAGAGAAGCTGAGATCCTCTCCAGCAGGGAAGTCTGTGACCCCAGGAACTTCCCTAAGTTCCTTCCCAGGACAGCTGGGGTCATGGCATGATGCAGGCCAGTCAAGCAGATGAGCTAGAGTGGATGAGCTGAGCTGCTAGGACATGGGAGTTCTGTGTTCTCTAACTGAGCTGGGGGTGAAGGTCAACCGGGATGCTGGAGTCTGAGCAGAGACAACCACTGATGTAGTGTTCGGGACCTGGGTGAGTGAGGGCAAATTACTTCCTTCAGGCTTCGACCAGGGTCCTCACCAGACTTCCTTCCATGGGATGATGGCTGCATTTGCAAGGGTATGGGTCTCTCCTCTTACAGACTAGACAGTGGTTCTCAATCTTCCTAATGCTGTGACCCTATGGCTGTGATCCTCACGTGGTAAATTACTGCCGCCCCACCCACCCGCCCCGCCAACCATAAAATTATTTCGTTGCTACTTCATAACTGTAATTTTGCTACTGCTATGAATTGAAATATAAATATCTACTATGTAGGGTATCTAATATGCGACCCTCAAAGAGGTCATGACCCACAGGTTGAGAACCACTGGCCTAGGCCATCCTATCCCTCTGTAGCCCAAGCATAGCAGCCTCTCTATGTACTGGTCAGTGCTGAACAGAGTTCCAGAAAAGACCAAAACCTCCTTCCCCTGAACACAGCTCTGCAGGGGCGGGCTGGACACTCACAAGGCTGCTTGGTCTTGGGGAAGGCTCCTGATAGACCAGGGCTTTCAAGCCTGGGTGGTTTTCACGGACTCACCCAGGAGAGGCTGCAATTTGTTTTGTGATCAAGGAAACACCACTGCTCCAGGTTTCCCTATTAATGCCTCCTGTACTTTTGTCCTTACTCATACCGACAATTTGCTGGGGACACTTGGTGAAAGCCAGCTTCCTTCTCATGACTGTCTCAGGACGTCAGAGAGGGCTGCCATTTTCCCTTCTCTGGACATCAGGTGCCCAATGTTCGCAAGGCTGCACCAGGGTGAGAAAGCGAGGTGACAGCTGGATGTTTTGTGTGCAGCCATGCTGGATGGTTTCTGAGGTTCCTGGAGGAAGGACCTGGGATTCTGGCTTTCTCATTGACGGAGCCGGAGTTGGAGACCTGGAGACCTGGCATGTTCACTAGTTGCTGCTCTAGTGTGTCACTTTGCCCATTCATCCTTTCTCTAGGTGGCAGTTCCAAATCCATCAGATGGGGATCTGGTGTTCTCTAAGGATCTGGCTGGGGTGGGGTGGGGAGGGGTCGTCCAGGATTCCCTAATGGATGGGCTTCTGCAAGGAGGGAGTAGAGTAAGTTGAGTTTGAGGAGATCATGGCCACCAGCTGGGCCTAGGTTCCTAAGGGCCATGTTTTCCCCTGAAGAGAGACTCCTACCTTCAGCTACTCCATTCCTTACCTTGCCCCAGCCTGGAGCCTGTGACAGCCTCTTTAGCAGTCCCGAAGCCCAGCTCTCGGCATACCACACTGGCAGATACCAGGTCCCACTTGTCATCGCAGACGGTTCCCCATTCTCCATTCTTGAGCACCTCCACTCGGCCCTCCCCAACCTGGGCTCCACCTCTCAGCCGCACCAAGGGTTGCTGAAGAGACAGATGGTCCTGCTGAGTGCAGAAGTGACACACGTCCTTCGAGTTGTCGCTGCCCTGCTCCCTTTTGTCTTCCATCCCCAGATCCCCATAACTCAGAGTCTGAAAGTGCTCGACTTGTTGAGGGTCGGGTGGCAAAAGTTTCCTGTGTAACTTCTCATGGGCCTCTGTCCTGGACCGCTAGGAAGGCCATCCAAGACCCTCATCAGCACATCACTCCTTCCCAGGCTTGCCTCCTAGATTCCAGCATCAGCATCCTTCTACCCCCAGCTCTGGAGCCTCCCAACGTGTAGAGCTACATGGGGAAGCTTCTGCCGTCCAAGTCCACAGATTCCTAGTGAATCTTTATTTTCCACTGCTTATAATAGAACTGAGCTTTACAGTCTAGTCCTGCATGAAGACTCCTTGGTGAGGAGCTAAATGCTCATAAGGGGGGGAAGCAAGAGAGAACCCACAGGAAACGGCAAGACAGAGAGTGAAAACATAGGGCACTAGCAGGGAAGACAGACATAGTCAGGACCTGACTCAGAGCAGGCGAGCAGCAAGTGATGGGGGAGTCCTCCTAGTTAAGACTAACCGCCCTCCTAGTCCAGAAGATGCAGCCTGTCCAGACAGAGAGGGCAGAGAGGGTGGAGATGGTAGCTTAGATGCCTCTAGTCTTACTTACTGTCTGGAAGCCTCAGCCCCTCCTGGGACTTCTGGAATTACACAGGACCCATTTCCTGACAGATTCATGAAGCCTGTGGATTATGTCTTAAAGGATAGAGTTGTTGGCTTCACCTGTCTACACAGGCTGCTTTGCCTCAGTTTCTATGCATGTGTACAAACCTATGTTTGCATTCTCAATGCCTCTGCATGTGTGTGTGTGTGTGTGTGTGTGACAGAGAGAGAGAGAGAGAGAGAGAGAGAGAGAGAGAGAGAGAGAGAGAGAGAGAGAGAGAGAGAGAGAGAATATGCAGGGTAAGTCTACAGGGTTCTGAGTCACTGCTGACACTCATTGGAGGGCTGTGAAGCCACGGTAATCAGACCAGACCAGATTCCTGTTCTACTGTGACTTAATGTAGTTCCCAGCCTGTGACTTTCGTTCAGGCCACGTACTGATGGCCGGGATGAGGCAGGTCTGCTGGAAGGAGGCATGTTTCAAGCATTCAAGCCCTCTGCCACCTTGAGGAAAAAGGCACCAAGTAGGAACCTCTCTCCAGTTATCTCTTGCTTCCCCCACAATGACACCTGGGGGCTAGCCTTGTTGTGACACCACCCACATTCGCAGGTTCCCCCTAAGACTGCTGAGCCTTGCACTAGCGGGAAAAGCAAAGGAGGATGGGTGAGTGGGAAACACTCAGCGACTTCCAAAGCTTCCATTCTTACTTTAGAAAGCAGAGCACAGTGAGTGAAACCACTGGCTACAGCCTCTGTTCTCAGCAGAAACGTGACCTCCTTCCCAAGCTCATGAGTGGGGTGCAGGGGGCCCCTCACACTCACGTGGAGCCGCCATCCTGACCACAACTGGATGGAGACAGAATATCAGATAGCCTAGCCACAGACCCTGGAAGTGGCCAGGTAGCGATCCAGCTGGCCATGGAGTGAAGACGGAAACCAAGGAAAATGTGAGGTCAGCCTCCCACTTCGTTCACTGGTTTGGTATGAGCTTGACTGCTTCCTTTCTTACAGCTCAGCAGAGGAATTCCAAAACAGTAGGATCAGGGAACTCTAGCTGACAGGGAGAGCTGGGGGCGGGCAGGGGGAGGAGGCAGGATGAGGCTGGCAGAACAAAGGGCAGGGGAAGTGAGGGTTCAGGGCAGGGGCAGTTTGGGGCCCACAAATAGCACTAACCAGCTAGCTGTGCCTCTGACACGGGGACACAGATGTCTGATAAAGAAGTCACGTCTCTGCATATCCAACGCACCTTGAGGACACTGAGGTCAGGTTTAGTTTCCCAGAAATGCCAGGAAGTTAGGACGTACCTCTAAATAATCCCCACAGACTGGGCTGGACTCCCAGCATGCATTTCGCTCCTCTCACTTACTACCAAGACTTTCATTCAAACACCTCCCAGGGTTACCACCACCTCCTCCCCTGACTGCCTATCTCTGTGGGGCAGTGAGAGAAAGCACAGGCCAGGAGGAAGGGAAGGGAGAGGAGGCTGTGGTATTATTGGTCTGGGGAGGGGCTTCTACTGTTCCACCAACTGCCCTCCCTCTGCAGGTTCCTCCCTAACGCCTTTCCCCTGGCATGAACTCATTCTGCGAGCATGATGTCTACTGAGGCTTTAAATGGCCCAAGGACTTAGCCCATGATGGAGGTTTCATCAGGCCTGTGGCTCAAGATCTATGATCAATCCTCTTTTCATGTGCTGTTCCCACCCAGTGACCCTGTATTAGCAATTTCCAGAACACACACACACACACACACACACACACACACACACACACACGTGGGGGCAAGGCAAGAGAGAGAGAGAGAGAGACAGAGACAGAGACAGAGACAGAGAGACAGAGAGAACAGGACTGTGGAGGGAAGATGGTAGAGACCCTTTCTGTTTCAGAGGGTCAGCCTGGCCTGTTTTGGTCATTCACCTGTTCTGGAAATCAGCCGGTTGAAATGGAGGACCTAGTTAATAACCTAGTTCATATGGGGCGATGCCACCACCCCAAGCCCAATTACTCTCACAGTGTTTCTCAACCTCCCTAACGCTGTGACCCTTTAACACAGCTCCTCTATTGGGCTCTCTTCTAGTGGGCGGTTCTGGGTTTAATCCCAGAACTTGGGAGACAGAGGCAGATAGATTTCTGTGAGTTCAAGGCCAGCCTGCTCTACAGAGTGAGTTCCAAGACAGTCAGGGCTACACACAGAAACCCTGTCTCAAAAAACAAACAAAAACCAATCAACAACAAAAAATACAGTTCCTCATGTTGTGGTGACCCCAACCATAAAACTATTTCATTGCTACTTTGTAATTGTAATTTTGTTATGTAATGTAATTATCTGACATGGAGGATATCTGATACAACCTTTGGGGGTCACAACCCAAGGCTGGGAACCACTGTTCTACACAAACCAATGAGTGATTCCTGTAATAATAATGTGGCCAGTGACAGGTGACTTGGGAATAGTAACGGCAGATTTTCTAACCGGTGAAAGCATTTTGCAGTTAGCTTTTCTTTGTGAAATAAGCCATAGTGGGTTAGAAACAACACAGCTGGTGTCGTGTGCCTTGGAGAGCTGTATCGTATCTCCTATAGCTCCTGAGTCCTGGATGTGGTTTCCTTCAGGATCTTAGCAGGAGCACGAGGTCCCCGGATGGCTATTCCATATCACTGGCTCATGCTGAGCTAAGGGAACAGAGTGCTGGCCAACAATGGGGTGATTTCCTTGTGCCACAGAGGGGACTCTGGTTTTGACTGAGGTAGCAATAATGATGGTCTCAGCGGTGGCCAGCTCTTTCCTGTTCCCTTCTAATCATGACCCCTGACAGTGGCCAAGTGCCTATATCTTCTGCCCAGTCCTTACCTCTGGCTTGTAGGCTTTCCGGAACCTTGAGGGCCCATCAGGGCTGAAGATCTGGCTAGGCACACAGCTGACCACAGCTGGCTGCCCGTTCTCACAGGTGGCATTCTTCACAAGGTCTCGGGACACCGGCGGGCCCAGCTTGCAGCTGGAGATGTGAGCTTCAGTGCCCGTGCAGTTCATGGAAAACTGCCAGTAGCGCAGTTTCCTCTTCAAGGCAAATGTCCTGCAGGGAGAGGGAAGAGATGGGCAACCAGGGCATCCCAGCAGACACCTGCTCCCTTCCTTTTGTAACTAGCAGATTCAGTTCCCAAAACCCAGTCTCCCACCTGCTGGATTATAGGCATGTAGTACCACTCCAGGCTTCATTTTTCTTTTACAAAGTGTAGCAGTTAGAGAATCATGGTTCGTAAAAGCCCCTTCCTTGAAGAACAGCCAACTAATAAGATAACTAAGCCGGTCCCATGAAAATAGATAGCATCAGTCCATTCAGGGACAGAGCTCTTACAACCGGAACACCTCTTGAAGGTACCACTTCTTAATACTGTTAACTACATTGCAACTTGTAGTGGAGGGGGACAATCAAGACATGGCTTGTGATAGGGACTGAAGGTTACAGACTGGGACTACGGGAGGAAGAACTATGCTGGGAAGAGGCAATGGTCCATGGAAAGAGTCCTGGTGCCAGGAGAAAGACCCACTTCCTAGAGCAAAGACATCTTCCAGTTCTGGTAACTGGCACCCACAGCTAAATCTACATATGTACATCTCCTGAGTACTCAGATGACTCAGAAGGAAGGGTTTACAGCCAGGAATTACCATAACATCGCTGCTGTTAAATGAACAAATGCTTGCAAAGCACTTAAAACAGTGCACGGACCACGGGGAGAGTTTTTTGAAACAAATAAAAATTGTAGTGGTGGTGTGACTTGGATGTGATATGTCCCCCACAGGCTGTATGCTTGAACATTTGGTCCCCTGCTGGTGGCAGAGAGGCTGTGGGGCTTTGAGGAGGCAGGGCCTAGCTGGAGGAAGTGGGTTTCCGTGGGGTGGATTCTCATCTGTGCTCTCTCCGTTCCTATGCACAGGGGTGTGAGGAGCCCTGGCTGCACACACCTATCACCATGAACTCCACCATGCCTCCCCGACCACCACAGACTGTAACCTCGCAAAATGTCAGGAAAAATACTCTTCCCTGAGTTGCATCAACTAGGCACTTTGTCACAGTGACAAGTAACTAGAGGGCAGAGAGATGGCTCAGTGGCTAAGAGCATGTACTGCTCTCGCAGAGGACCCAAGTGCAGTTACTAGCACCACACCTGTAACTCCAGCTCTAGGGGAATCTGAGGCCTGTGCAGGCATGTACACACACACACACACACACACCTGTAATTCCAGCTCTAGGGGAATCTGAGGCCTCTGCAGGCATGTACACACACACACACACACACACACACACACACACCCCTGTAACTCCGGCTCTAGGGGAATCTGAGGCCTGTGCAGGCATGTACACACACACACACACACACACACACACACACACACACACACACCTGTAACTCCAGCTCTAGGGGAATCTGAGGCCTCTGCAGGCATGTACATACACACACACACACACACACACACACACACACACACACCCCTGTAACTCCAGCTCTAGGGGAATCTGAGGCCTGTGCAGGCATGTACACACACACACACACACACACACACACACACACACACACTTACTTTTAAAAGGAAGACAGTAATAAAATGGCTAAAGGAGGAAACCAGCAATAAAAGGGAGGGTCTGTTGGCTCGGCAGTTAAGAGTGCTGGCTGCTCTTCTAGAGGACTCAGGTTCAATTCCTAGCACCCATACAGCAGCTCACAACTGTCTGTAACTCCAGCTCCAGGCATCTGACAACCCCACACAGACACATATATACAGGCAAAACACCAACACCATAAAATAAAAATAAATACAACCTTGAAATTGCATTAAGAGAAGGAGGGAGGGAGGGAGGGAGGGAGGGAGGGAGGGAGAGAGAGAGAGAGAGGATCCTTGCTTGAACTGATGAGGATCATTTGCTGGAAGATTAGGGTATGAACAATTTTGGGATCTAAAGAGGGTATGTGTATGTGGGGGGCACCCCATCCCCTGAAGCTGTCTGTATTTTAGAGCCTGTGTTCTTGCCCCTGCTTGGCAGGGCTCGGAGAAATGCTTGAGGAGGCCAACAGCATAGCTGCCTGCCACCCAGGGGGAAGAGGTTATCTTGACAGGAGACCCTCAGAGGGACCTATGTGAAGTCTTGTCGTTACTGGTCCAGCTTCCTGGGAAACATCTGCTTTGTCTTAGGGTGAATGGCATGTGAACGCAGAGGAAGGACAAATTCTTTAGACGTCATTATTGTCTTCCCTTTACCAAAACAACTCTAGTGTAGCTGTGGGAACAAACACTGGACTATCTAGCATGAAGACTATATCGGGATGTGTGCTCACCACAGTGACATCATACAGTGGAGAGGTCCACGAGGGGGCAGTTGTGAATTCCAGAGCAACTACCCCTCCCCACTTCCTGTGAGATCCCTTACTCTGAGAAACCTCACCTCCCTTCCACACATGGGCAGAATACACTCAGGGGAGCATGAGCTGTTCCAGGTCAGAGCACAGTGAACCCACGGCTGGCCTGGGAAAGTCATCCGTTTCCAGCTGTTGGTGAGCACCGCCCTCACTCAACCAGCACAGGGGTTGCCTCAGACCTGCTCCAGTCTTCCCCAGACAGCTCTGCTTCTGTCTTACGTCAGCTCTCTGGAATGTGCCGCCCACCATGACCCTCCACATGCCTCCAGCAGCCAGAGCGCCGCCCCAACCCCATCCTCATTCACTCCCATGGTGGTTGAGCTGGCCCAAGAGAAGCAGGAATGAGATGAGGGGAAAGGAAACATGGCCACCCCCAGGCCTGGACATGAGAGGGATGACTAAGGTTGGGGATAGCCTTCTGCCAAGTTGGAAGTCAGCAGGGCTGTAGCAGTTAATGATCTGGAGTTACTCTAGAAGCATAGATTCCTAGTGGCTCTCCCCAGATAAGGCAAAGCTAGATTTTGTGAGAGCCTGCCAGTGAGAACTTCAGTTAAAACTCCTCCTTGGAGTAGTGAACCACACATACACTAGACTCTTGGGTCAGTTCAGGGCTAGTGCCCAACACTCCACATAAGATCCAATTACTCCTTCCTTCCTGACACACAGCCATCCAGGTAGAGGGTCCCTATGGAGAGGGCTGGGAGAAAAGCAGCATAAGCTTTGGCACAAGGTACCCAGGTCCTTTCTCAAGGGGAGTATATCTCCCTTTTGTTCTGGGATTCTGGGTCTGTAAACTGACCCAAGTCTTGGAACTGATTAAAAGAGTGTGATAGCCCATTGCTATCATTCAGGTTAGACCCCTTACTTGACCTAAGGCTTATCTGTTGGGACAACCAAAGACTTTAGTCAACCTCATCCCCCTTCCAGGAGCATCATAATCAACTGAGTGACTCTGGAGCTTGTGAGTACCATTATCCATCAACTGAGTGACCCTGGAGCTTGTGAGTACCATTATCCATCAACTGAGTGACCCTGGAGCTTGTGAGTACCATTATCCATCAACTGAGTGACACTGGAACTTGTGAGTACCATTATCCATCAACTGAGTGACCCTGGAGCTTGTGAGTACCATTATCCATCAACTGAGTGACCCTGGAGCTTGTGAGTACCATTATCCATCAACTGAGTGACACTGGAGCTTGTGAGTACCATTATCCATCAACTGAGTGACACTGGAACTTGTGAGTACCATTATCCATCAACTGAGTGACACTGGAGCTTGTGAGTACCATTATCCATCAACTGAGTGACACTGGAGCTTGTGAGTACCATTATCCATCAACTGAGTGACCCTGGAGCTTGTGAGTACCATTATCCATCAACTGAGTGACTCTGAAGCATTCTTTCCTCTTTGAGACACATGTGGAAAAGTTTCTGTACCCTCACACCCTTTTGGAGGGAAGGTGAAAGAGGTTTGTCCCAGCAACTTCTACTGACTGTCTCACATCATATACAGAGCACTGGAGACAGAAGCCGAAGCAGAGACCTTTGGAGGAACGCTTACTTTCCATGGCTTGCTCAGCCTGCTTTCTGATAAAACTCAAGACCATCTTCCCAGAGTTGGTACTGCCCACAGTGGGTGTGGCCCTTCCACATCAATCATTAAGCAAGAAAATGCTCCACAGACATGCCCTGATAGAATCTGACAGAGATGGCGGAAGGGAGAAGTGGGGTTGGTAAGAACTGGTCTGAAAGTAATACTCGAGTAATCTTCTCCAGGGCAAGAGACACCCTGAGCCACCAAGAGACACTGGCCTGCCAAACAGCCACCAAGAGCCTGCCAAACATTTCTTAACTCAGTGCAGTCCTTGCCTAACCTGTGTATTGATACAGCCTATATGTTCCCTGGTGGCTGCTGGAACTGATGGTGGGATTTCCCTGGGCTGAAGCACGAGTGTGAGTTACTCAAAAGCAAGGCTAAGCAGTCAGTGAAACAGCCTGTCACTAGGTCTGGCACTGACCCCACAAGGATCGCAGCCCAGGAAACCCTGCCCCCTCTGGCCCTGCCCACTTACTTGTAGGCTTTGGGGTTGTAGGTCTTTTCTGCAGGGAAGCCAAACATGCCACAGACCACGTGGGAATTCTTGGCTGTCCAGTGCTTGTCACAGATCTGCTTCCAGGTCCTGCCCTCCTTCACCTCCACATAGCCCTCTGTCACAGGCTTTCGATGGCGGAAGGCAGAAAGGATGGGCCGAATCCGGATATCTTCCACCTGTATATTTAGGCTCTGTGAAGGAGGAGACATGGAAGGATGGGGATTATGACAGGAGCCTGGCTCTGGAGAGGTGTGAAACAGCAACTACTTCCTCAGGGCCCACAGGGTGAGTTTGCTGGTCTGTCTCTCTCCAGGCTCTGCAGAGGACCCCAAGCACTCCCCATGGACACACGGCACTGTTACCAACTGCTATACATTGGGAGGTAGTTGTGGTGACAGGCACCAAGGATGACTTGGAGTTCTCAGAGAAGTCTTGAGTGGCCCCCTAAACTCTCCCTTTCCCTACAAGAAAACGTGGAGAGCCACGGGCAGTAGATTCTTCCTGCATGGGCTTTAAATAGAAAAACGTAAGAAAGTATTATTTGATCTCAAAATAGTCTGGGTTTTTACATTTTACTCCAAAGTGTGTGCAAACATACCAACAGATATGTATGTGGACATTTCCATGTGTGCTAGTGTCATGCAGGTGAACCTTGGGCCTCGTTAGGCTACTGATGTCACCTTGCAGACTACTTTACATCATCCCTCCTGCTAAAGCCCCAGAGGACCTGCTTGCAGGAATAGAAGCAAAGCCACCCAGTGTTGAGCATGTCCTGTGTAGGTGAGCCTCAAGCCTAGGGAGCTGACAGCTAAATAGAGCTGGGATGATTATTTGGCTGTGGCAAATTCTGAATGTCTTTTTAAAAAAATAAGTCACTTTCTAATCTTTCTGGGTCAGTGGGAATAGAGGTTAGGGTCTGGGTTGAGAGGGACTCGTTGGCAAGACTCTTCTGAGGGAAGAAGGCTAGACGGGAGGATGGAAGAAGGCAACAACTCCTCGATATTCTCCTCTGTTCCCTGACTCTCAGTTGGAATGCCTTTGTGTGAAGACTGAGGCCTTTAGAGACCACACTGAATGAGACAAACGACTGGAAGAAGGGGGTCCCCAGAGTTACTGACACTTTTCAAGCTTCTCCAAGGCGTAGCCCATTCACAACCTCTCACTTCCTGCCCCCCCCCCCCCGCGTTCCTTGTCCCACTGGAGACGTTGCCATATCTTGTAACAATCCCCAAAGGAGTCCCTATCTCCATCTGTGCCACAGGACTGACCACAGAGAGTCCTGTCTAAAGCACTGATCTATGCTTGATTCTCAGCTGGTCTCTTTCCGTCTCTAACACACAGATGTCTTAGAGATGTCCATGATCGTTCCTGGATGAGTCCAACTATTCCCCTGTCCCTAATAGATGTCCCCAGCTCCAAATTTGCCCTCAGACACTGTGAAGCACAGCACATAATAGCAAGAGCTGCCATCAGTGCTTAGCAGTGAGGGACTCTGTGTCAATCAATTCCCATGCAGCCTCTTACCTAATCCTTAAGCAGAATAATGTGGCTTACTGCTACTGTCTACAATTGATGGATGAAAAAGCTAGTAAGTAATTGGGCTTTCTCCCTCAGACCACCCTGAGGTGCTGTGTGAGACATACCCTGAGCAAGGCCAGGGACAGTAAGGGCCAAGCTGGAAGGAAGGCTTCAGTGACCCAAGAGCGCTGTCTGTCCAGCCAGGATGCAAATGAATCAGATTGAACAGAGCCATTATTTGGATGCCCGGGGATTAATGCCTGCTGCCACAGGCTTCGGAGTCCAAAGCCAGGTCCTACTCCACAGGCTCTGTGAGGCGGTGGAAAGTATGTGGCTGAGAAAATGACATTTGGCCCCAGTCCCCTCCACACAAAGCGGAAGGAAAGCTACCGGGGCAGGGTTATGTTTTCCAGACTGGATCCTTTACAGCCTCATCACCCCACAGGACTCGTGCCACCTAGACACATGGGCCGTGATGAGCCAAGAAGTGGCCTGAGGTCTAACGCGAGGCTGTGGGCCAGCCCCCTCCTGCCTCTTCCCACAGCAGGAGGCTCCTGGCATCCAGCATGGATACATCATGCCCAGAAGGAAAGTTACGGCTGTCTCACTCACCCACAGCAGGCACGGCTGACATAATTCCATTCACAGATCTTTTATTGGCCATCAGCAGTTGCACAAGCTTATGGGTGGGAGACGTAACCCTAGCATGGTACTGTAGAGAGAGAAGAACTGGCTGGGAAACTTGGCAGCTGCCCTGAGAAGGGACTTACACAGGACCTGAGGCCACATACTGCCATACCTGTCTCCTTTCTTGCCTTGATGTGGGACAGAGTACGGCCCATTGGCAGACCTGTGGGCTTCGGGATGGGATTAGCCTTAGGGTTACCCTTAGGTATCATTGTCTTCATTCGTCTCCTGGTTCAGTCCATACATGTGTTTCTGTGTGATGCATGCATATGTGCATAACGGTATATGTTTTGTGTGTATAGTATGCATTTCTCTCTCCGCATCAACACATTCATGAATTTGAATCTATCTTTGTGTATCTGTGGCTATGTATGTGTGAACAAGATATGTGTACGGTGGCAAGGCTGTGTGTGTGTCATGTGAGTCCTTGGTCATATACGTGCATGGTGGTATATGACGGCCTGTGCGTGTCTCTGTGTGGAATGTGTACCTGAGGGATGGAGAGGGGAGAAATAGATTAAATCCCTGCAACACTTAAGGAAAGAAAGCAGTGAGAATGGGCTTTGCATTCATTCTTCCGAGGTAGAACACCTGTCTTTACCGTAGAAGCAGGTCCTTCTTCTGGGAGGTACGGGGTTGGTTTGAATGGGAATGGCTTCCCAGGCTCGCATGTTTGAACACTTGGTCCTTGGTTGGTGGAACCATCTGGGAAGGATTAGGAGGTGTGGCCTCCTTGGAGGAGGCATGTCACTGGGGGCCAGATTTGAAGTTTCAAAAGTCTACTGTGCTTCCCATTGTCCCTCCTCTTTGTGGATCAAGATCTTTGCTCTGCCACCATGGACTCTAACCCTCTGAAGCCATAAGACTAATAAGCACTTTCTTTTCAAAGTTGCCTCGGCATGGTGTTTTGTCAGAGATATAGAGAAGTAACTAAGCTGGTGCCATCCATTTCATTCACTCATTCATTTATTCACTCTGTCATCTATGGGCTTTGTCAGGCTTCCCCGGACCTCCGTGCCCTGTTTCTTCTTTACGGGTAACCATAGTCAAAGGCCACTGCTAACCAAGTGTCAGTCAAGTGCACTTGAGGCTCTGTGAATGGAACCTTACATCTATTCCCTTCTTCAACTTCCACAGCACCTACAAGATGGCTAAATGGTACACCCCCATTTATAGACAAAAACTTAGGAAAACTTGGTGAGGCTGGGCAACCTGTTCAAGTTCACAACTTATTAATAAGCAGGACAAAATGAAAATGAAACAGTCTCCAAGCCAGTTCCAGGCCCCTGAAGAGTTTCTGCTTTCACACCCCTTCCATGCCCAATATTGAAGTGACTCTAATGCTGAGGATCCCCAGACTCTGACTTCTGGGTGTTTCCCTTAGGGCTGCCCAGCACTGTGCATATTAGAAGTTCAAGACTGTCCCTAGAAGGACTGTGAGTCAGAGGGCAGTGGACGTGAGGGGTGAGCTGCTCTTGTCCTCGGGGCAGCAGGAAGTGGCAGGCATGCTTTGGCGGCATGTACTCAGGGCTCATGTGAGCTTAGCAGTGCTCCATGTCCTGGGAGACCTTGGGGTTAGAGAGCGCATGCCTGCATGGACTGCCTCCCTCCTACTTCACTGCTGTGGAATCCCTCCATAACCACAAGTGCTTGGATTTTCTTTTTCCCAGAACTTCAGTTCCCAAAGAGGTTTGTTTGAAATACCAAAGTGGACAGATTTTTTTTTCATATAGATTTGTTAAAGTTTTCTTGCATGCATTTATTTGCATGTGTGTGAATGTGTGTGTTGAGAACATGTATGAGAGTGAATGTCACAGCATGCATGCCATAGCATATGTGTAGAAGACAGAGGATAGCCCTAAGGACTAAACTCAGGTTGCCAGGCTTTGAGGCAAGCAACTTTACCATCTTGATGATCCAATTTTGTAGATGAAACTGAAGCCCAGGAGCCTGCCAAGCACCTGGAATGTCTTAAAATTCTAATATTTACCTGAATGACGGTTCTCTTGCCAAAAACAATAGTGTCTCAGGGCTCCAGTGAGCTTTCCTTCCAGGGTCTTGAAGAATTCCCCTGTCCTTGTTCCACACAGAACTAATCTCCTACCCCTCCGGGAGGCCCCGTGAGTGACCAAAAGGCACTCCCAGTGGAGGAAAACAAGAACAATGAGCTCAAGGGCCTGCCATGCTGTGTCTGCTGGGCTGGGGGAAAGTGGGTATAGAGTGAGTGCAAGGAAAGGGACGCCCGGGCTTATGTCTCAATGCCAATCAATAGGCACAGCATCTGTCGGTGACTTGTAAATTATGGAATGTGGCAGCCTGGGATCTCTGCCCATGAGGAGTCACCCGTTTTGAAAGACTAGTCAGAGATTGCCTCAGGGTATGATGCAAGGAGAGGCATGGAGAAGAGGCGCTCAGATTGTAGCCAACTCCTTTCTGGAATAACTAGAGGCAAATGGCCTCTCTGGAGGCATCAGAACCAGGCAGATCTTAGCCAGCTGCCTTGTCTCTTCCCTCTGTTTTAGAAGCCAGGCTTTAACCTCTTATTGGAAGTTACCCAGGGGGTGCAGATGGAGTGGAGGAAATGTCATTTATACCAACATCCTCCTGGGATGTACCATTGGTTGGTAGAGCCCACTCACTTGGTCTGTCCTCCACTACCAAGTTTCTGCATCTTGCTCAGAAGGCCCACAGAACGCCTGATTTGACTGTTCTTTACAGAATGCCTGATTTGACTATTATTCTTTTGGAAGGCAGTCACATTCAGACTCATCTTCCGAGCCTCTCTCAACATCTCAAACCACACAACCCAGATGCCCCCAGTCCTTCTTTACACAGACAGAGCCATCAAGTGAGTCTCACCTTTGCAGACCACAGTTCCTTCATCCCTTCTTCTACTCTCTCTTCTTCACCCCTATGGCCTATTTGGCCTCAGCCACACCTCTTCCTGTCTATTGATTTCCCATCTACACGTCTGTAGCCCGAACAG